ATTCCGAACCATATCACCGTATTTGTGGTATGCAGGCTCGTACATGCTGCCGTGAGAACGGACAAGTGTTAAGGCTAACAACCCTTACCAGTCGACCCGAAAATTGTCGCCGCGTCCCCGCTGCCATACAATAGCTCCTGGCCAGTTGGCAAAATCATGCGCATACGGCCCTGGGTGAACACCGCTTTCGCATACTTGTCGAAGAGACTCATGTAGAGCTGCTGCGAGAACGAGACCTTCGGACTCGTCGCCCTGCATGGCCAAAATACATGTTGGGAGGCCTTATCAAATCAAAGTGCTTTGTCCATCGTGCAGAATGAGGCAAATGCAAGCGGCATGTGCGACAAAAGACAAAGTGTTTGGAGGTGTAGCAAGCACGCAGTTTACCCACAGGCGCTGATATGACAATTGATACAGGCCCATACCAACTTCATCCCCACACGGCCAACACCACCTTACCTCGGCACCCATGGCAGGCTCCCGCCCATTGCCTCCACGACAGCCACAGCGGACCGGATGCCATCCTCGTGGAAGCCATAGGCGGTCCACGCGCCAGCATAGTAAGTATAACGATGGCCCTGAATGGATGGCAGCAGCGCCTGGGCAGCAACAGAGGCTCCGCTGCGAGTGTGCGAAGTGCGGACGGGCGGACGCAGTGTCCGTCATAAGGCAAACATGCCCCACGTCGGCAGGGGGCACCCTCGGCCGGATTGAGTTGTGTGCGTATATTCATTACTCATAAGTTACTCGATAGTCCACACGCACCATACGACGCTTAGCAAAATTCCATATCATGCAAGACATGACAAGGCAGTCAATCCTTGCACCCTATTCTATCTGAGGTTACGGCCGAAAAAGGGGCAAGCAGTACGCAGTAACAACCACCGGGTCGGCCTCTACGATGCTTCACACCTGAACACGGGGTGCGCAAGCGAGAGACGCCGTATAACGTGCTCCGTCGCCGGCGGCTTTGGTGGGTTGAGCGTGACGAACAGGTCGGGTGTGCCAGGAGGAAACTCCTGTAGCCTATTTGCCCAATAAGTGACGCAAACCGCAGCGGTGTCAGAGCCGGGGGTGCTGCTACCGAGGAAGTTCCACGAAGACCAGACTTTGCGGTTACGAGGCATCAGAGCCGGATCTGCAAGCCAAGCATAATAACGACAATCAATCGCCCAGGGAATTGCTTCCCCAAGCCCCAGAAAAATAGGCACGCATTTCCCGTGATAATCGCTTTCACCCACATGCTCATCATTCACATCTCTTACCTGTGTGCAGGTAAATGTCATTGTCATTGTACGGCACCGCAGCAAGTAAGTTACGTTCCTGGGGGTCAGCACCATCACCAAGCAGCTGCAGCGTCACATCGCTGTGAGTCGCAAAGACGACGGCGTCAAACCGCTCCTGGCCTCCAGTGGCGGTCTCCACAAATACGCCGCTGTCCTCGCGCACCACGCGTGACACCGGAGTGCTTGTTCGGACATCAGGCAGCTCTACGGTACAATAAATGGACGAGGTTGCAGTGGTTCTGAACAGATTACCGGTGCTATACAATGTATTGGCCGCAAAAAGGCCCTATATTAGAGGTACCATCGGTCAGCCTTCTACCTGGCGAACCTTGAGGGTTCTTCACCAGGGTAACCAAAAATTTCGGCCGTGTCCGATACCCTCTGAATAACCTTTCGGGGCCCTCCCCGAAAACTTTCCTGTCAGCCGGAGAGTGTTTTCGGGTACCCCGAAACTGTCTGAAGCGGTTTTCGGGGTAAATTTTAGCTGGATTCTATCGTTATATGCTAGGACGGCCGAATTAACAGGTGTTTGACTTTGTTTTGGAACATAGCGCCTGGGAGAAATATTTCAGCAAGGATTTTACCCAAAGCCAAGGAGGCGCCGCTCCTCATCCACCTCTGCAGCCATTGCCTCCACCACACCTGCCACATCATCATCCGTCTCCTCAGGCGGGTACACCTCATCACTTGCCACACCCTCGACCTCCTCGTTATCAGAAGGATAATAGGCCTCAGCAATTTCACTGCCCAGAACATAGTCGCCCACCTTGGCAATACGGTGCAGGAGCCCATCCGGGTTCTTTGCAACATACTCCTCAGCAGCTTTAAATCACAAGGGGTTGGCATTTCATATCCACGGCTGGACCGAGTAATCCAACACGCAGAAGGGAATCAATGGACGGGACAGCCAGCCTGTTCGGCAGCCTGTTCTTGGTAATGCGGTGGACACTAAAGCCACGCTCAACACACGCTGTTTGAGTGGGCAGGACACAAATGTGGCATATGGATATGCTTAGATGTATGGAAATGTCTGCGATACAGCTGCGAAACAGCCGCAATGCACATATGTACTTGTTGTTTGACTGGTGACCAAGCGGGCCTTATACGGCAAGCCCGGTTTCCAGGCCCCGTCTGCGCCCGAAAACATGCAAATTTACGCTGAAATATCGTTCGGTTTTCTCCGAAAATGCCTTCAAAAGGCTTCGGTGGGGTCCCCGAAAAAATGCTCTAAAAGGCCCAAAATCCGTTCGGAATACTCCGGGGCACACTAATTTTCCTTTCGGGCAAAACGGAAATATCTCAAAAACGTTCGGGCCCGAAACGGGGTGAAGAACCCTGCGAACCTTGTGCCATGGCTAGGACAGCACCAAGCAAGCAATGCCACTCCCCTGGCCTCCACGATTTATAGGAGACCCTAAGCACCGCCCGCAATAGGGGGACCGACATAAATGTCACGGAGGGGGAGTTCGCCAACCATGGGCACCCCTGCTAGACACGAAACACTCAAGCCACCACCCTTGGGCAGCCAGGGCTCTTGAAGGCTTGGCAGGGCAAGGGTGGCTCATGCATTACCAAGAGCCGACGAGCCGTCGAAAAGCCTAAATCAACAGACCTTAGGTGTTCGTTCCTCAGGGCTTAGAATCACTCCATACAAGTAATCGAGCTTGGCACAATGCCCAAACACGTAAGAAGAGTGAGCGACCCACCTTGACACACACGATTCACGTACGTCTCACTTCGACCCCGGACAACGCGCCAGAGAGGCCGCTGGAAGATGTCAAGCAGATGGTGGTTCACCCAGAACCGGACCAGCATGCATACCGGGAAAACGAGGACCTGCGATAGCACCGAGTATGTTGAATGTCATGCATTCAAACAAGAGGTGTTCAAAGAGAGACGCCACAGAACAAGAGGTGTTCACAGGAAACAACCCTTGGATACCTGGCTCCTGTAAGAGATAAACGTGGAGATAAAAGAGCCTGCTTTCGCCTACCTGAGCATTCGGTACACTCCACACAGCTGCGCACATCGGTACGACGTAGTTGTTGATGAACGCATCACTATACTTATGCTTCTCAAGATACTCGCCAAGCGTCATTTCCCGATAAACGTGCGCGATAGACGGCTCGAGCACCTGAAGGGCAGGGGACGACGTAACGTGGCTCCAACATCACTACCCTATACGCAAAGCATAATTCAAAGCATTAACTCACCCCCCTCCAAACACAAAAGTTCCCTTTGAATCATTAGCCTTTCGTGTAACCGGGCAACAATCATACATCGGCCATGTCAACACGGCGTGTATTCGACACCACCCAATATTCATATGCGTACCTTAGGTGCTTCTCGCCCAAAGCGAACAACATCCTTCAGCATAGTCAGGAAAGATGGACTCATGAGATTCCGCCGCTGGGCAAAAATAGTGTCCAGATTGTCGCTACCCCACTCCAGCTTGCCGTCATCCATAGACAGTGCAAAGCTCATATCAGACTCTGCTGAATCCACACCAAGACACTCCAGGAAACCCACAAAATGCGGGTACGTTGTCAAGTTGAAGACCTGCATGTTAATGGCAACGGCAATGGTTCGCTCTCTGACCTGCACTAACGGCAACCAGACGTCTTCTTGCCTCACCTGGAAACCTAAATCAACAGGATACGGAGACGTATGGTCGGTTAAAGTGTGTCCACCACAACGATCCTCTTTCTCCATTAAAGTAACGCGGGCTCCATTCCTATGTCCAACAACAGAATTGCTCAATTAAGTTGGTAGCTGTTCATCCACCATCATATGGACCCCTTTTTAGCCTTCCAAACAAAAGGGGCTCACAATTACTAAGTTCAGCAGGTTCTATTGTGAAAATACCTGTGGAGTAACCATGCGGCGCTAAGACCGCTGATTCCAGAGCCAATCACACAAACCCGCTTGCCGCTTGGGCCCTCCATCTTGACAATCATACCAGACAATCGGAGACGTTTCAAGCGGCCGGAGGTGCGCAAAGTAGCGCACACAACCGGTAAGCCTCCTCTCCAGGCTTACTCCGCCCTGGTAAAAAATGATTAACAAGAAGGTTCAGGGCACTTCCGTGTCAAACTCAACATAATGCTGTAGGCAAGTTATTATGAGATGACGCCAAAATTGGAACCAAAAATCTCGTACTACCTGAAAAAAAGGGCACGCTCAAGCCTGTGTGCCTGTCACATCCTGCTCACGACGTATTCCTTTGACGAGCTTATAATTCACAGGGACAAGTTACAGAAGCGACGTCGTATGTGGTCAGCCAGCTCCTGACAGGCACATTGACAGCTCGAGTGCCAAAATGTGTAACACAAATTCTCCGGCTTACTTATAGCACACAGTATCTATGGATGGTTTAAAGGCTAATCATCGCGTGGAACAGGGGCTACCACGGAGCCAAAGCACACTTAGCCCTTCCAGCGAAATTACCGTCACGCTGCGGTTGATTGCCTATGGCGGAGAGGTCAGCGATTTTGCGAGGCGCTCATATAAGACATTCAGCTTCAGGTTAAGCTCACGCGGTCTTTTGTTTTTCACACAGAGGCCCACTATCAGCTTCGGACATGTTTCCCCAGGGTTTAAGAAGGACGCCATATTACAACTTCTCAACGAAACAGATTTGGACCGTGTAAGGATGATACTCAGGGGCTTGGGTTACTCCCTGTTTCTGCAGGACTAGCCTGTTGCTTTTCTATCATGCCGATGAAGGATAATGTGTGTAAACAGGTTTTGATGCTAGAGAAACTACCAGCGGGCATCTCTTTACATGGCGATAACGGGTGCAGCCTAGGCTCGGTCAGCGTCCCGCGCCGCAGCAGCATGACTCTGCACGTCAGTTGGCGCCCAGACAGTGCCGCGGTATTAAATGAGACCCTGCGCTGGAGGATGGCGGAGGGGCTTCGCCAAGCACGGCTGGAGGTTAGGCTGCAGGGTATCGCAGCATCAGAGCCACCGACATCAGCTCGCAGCAGCCGGAACCTAAGCTCAGCTGCTGTAAAGCCTGCTGATGCGCGGGGCCCAAACAAACAGCCGGCAGCATCTTCCAGCACCTTCAAGGCACCGCCACGAACGCTCACGCTTTGCCGGCCCTCAATGGCCGCGGCAGCGTCAGGATTAACACAGGCACACACAGCTATGCTCGAGGAGTCGCCATTGTCTACTAGGCTCATTGAGCCAGCGGGGTTCACCCCGCAAGCTCCCGCCCTAGCGGCCACGAAACCGTCACCGACGCCGCCATCAGCCAGTCCCCAGCTAGCCGCAGGCGTCCGAGCTCAAATGGCACGGCCAACTGCCACCACGCCGACCAGGATATGCAGCCTAGTGGAGCAAAGTAAGGCGCTTGACTTCCGCCGCGTTGGGTAAGACGACCAACTTGCGCACAGCTTGATTGCATGGGCGTGATTCCATTGTTTAACCCATTTTCAGGTGCGTCGAAAGCAAGCGGGAGCGGGCTTTGATTTCGTGGTTGAACAGTGAGGTTGCGCCCCTGGGCACCACAGCTTCTGGTGCGGGTGGCAACGGCGTTGAAGGACATGTTGTACGGCGACTACTTGGAGAGGTCAGCGGAAAGGCATATGTGTACTTTAAACGAGACGAGGGTTTCGCCGCCATGGCGTCGAAAATTGAATCCAAGATAGCTGCTAAGCAGCTGACCATCCGTGACGCGGTGAGTCGTGCTTGGCGCGTTGTCCGTTTCCGCCCATCTTAAGGAGCAATCAAGAAAGGGTTGAACCGGCAAACACGTCAATCTTACAAACCTTCATTACAGGAACATACGCTTAGCGACGTCCGCATGCGACAGCAAGCTCTGGACGTCCTGACGTCGTATCACCCGTTCTGGCTGGCCGTGGGGCTACAGACAGTTTTGGGCCGGGCCCTTGTGCTTTCCCATGGTATGTCCCTGCGCTAATTGCGTGGCATATGTGACCCGGTTGTTGCAGTTTTTGCCTGCTAGTTTGGACAAACGGGATGCCGTATTTCCGTGTTGTATTACTACAGTGGCGCACAGAGCAGCTAATTGTAACTTGGGCGCTCGCTCGCAGGCAACATGCTTGTCCTAATGCGCACGGGCGGGGAGGTCCCATCTTTCATCCGGACACACTTAATCGAGCACTTCCTCGCTGACCAGGACTTGGCTTCGCAATTTCGTCACATCGCGTTCAAGCAAGATTATTGGGTATGTGCTGAGGGGATGGCATACGGCGTTGTAAGATGTGGGTGAAAGTTGGAACCATGGTTGTGTGGACTGAGGCCATGTTCCCTCCATTTCGGCATAGCTTGTGTGATGTCAAGATGAAACATCTTTTGGTATTTGATGTCCTGTTCCAGGAAGCTCTGGGTGCCAGGGTCCTCGGGCGTGTACTCTTGCTGGTCCTGCTTCTCGACCGGATGGCGCAGCGACATGACCTCCCTAGCGGGACTCCATCACTGTTCCGACAAGACGCTAACATCAAGTCGTCCGAGCAGGTGACTATTTTACGAGCTGTCCAATGGTTACAACCCACATTACAGAATGGATGCTCATGTGCCATACCTGCCTTCCATGACAGTTGCTTCTTGAAAGGCATTTGCTGAAACCTTGCCAACGCTGACTGTTGAATTGAAGGCCGTCTCTATTGGTGCTGTGTGTTTTAACACCGGTTCCTGGTTCCTTTCTAACGTCCTGGCAGGTAGCGCAAGAGTTCTTACAGCCGCGTCTCGCAGGCGCCGGAGACGTGCGCCACTCACTGCGCATGATGTCTTATACCACGGGGTTTGTGCAGCATGCACGGGATGAGGCGGACTATCGCGTACGTAAACCGCTGGACCTGCGTGACGGGACAAGGTTGGCCAAGCTCTTTGACAACCTGCGACGTAGGTTCTTGGCGACGGGTGTGTGCCTATGTCGTGCCTAAGAGTGTGTAAACACGGCCGCTCATTATATACATACATCCTGAATACACACAGACATACTTACATGCGGATGTACGGGTCCATACATACATCCTGAATGGGTGTACGACTGGCATACAAACACTTAGGATGCCGGTGATCGCCTGAAGACATGCTACGCAAAGAGTGGGTTTCCCCTGGATCAGGTTTCACGTTTATTAGTCAGCACTTCGGGAGATCCTTGGTTTGCCGATCTCTTCTTACAGGTCAAGATGTCGCGCAGACGGGCAATAGCTCCAAGCCTACACCAAACACGCAAGCGAACCAATGCAGCGCGTCAGCCGCGCCGTGCAATAGCCGCATCCCGGCGCCAGGTGTGGACTTACTGCCCAGCATGGCTTTCCCGCAAAACACTGGGAGGCCCATGGATGAGTCCCTGATGCGCAACAATTGCCTACGGCTCGTACGTGCGCTTCAGCAGCATGGTATAGGACTGCAGGTACGTGCCCTTATTCGGCGAAGGGCACAAGTGTCGAGTCATCAACACTTATGACTGTATTTGACTTGCGCATTCCCCGGCTGCACAGGGGCTGGCGCTTAATGGAACAGTTGGACTACGGGATCCGGGTCTAGATGGGGTTGCCAAGCTGATAGCGGACGGGATCCTCCGCCTCGACCAGAAAATTACTTTGGGTGTGCTCTGGCAGCTTGCTATGCATTATAAGGTGAGGACTGTTTGCAGGACAAAAGGCGCCATTCCTGCAAGCCTCCGTGTCGCTCATTAAATAGTTTGCGCTCCTGGCCAAGCTGACCTCCTGTCGCTGACTACAGCTCCGGCGGCACGTGGATGCTCGATCACTTGAACGCGAGGCGGCAAGGCTGCGGCGTGCCACTGGGCAGGCAGCTGCTTTCGACGAAGCAGCTCTTTCGCGTTACTCTGACCCAGCGAGCCAGGCCCTACTGCAGTGGGTGCGGGTGGCATGCGCGCCCTACGGTGTTAACGTCAATGACTTCAGTTGGTCGCTGTCGGACGGTCGCGTCCTGTGTTACCTGGTAAGCCACGTTGGCACCCCCTAAGAATTCTACTCCTGATTTGCATGAATGCTAAATGAAATGATGGCCCTCGGTAGTAGTTAAACTGCAGAATTCTTTCGAACTGACATCTTCCCTTGTTCACAGGTTAACGCCTACATGCCGGAACTCCTTCCGCGAGACAGCATTACCTCCCTCGAATTGCCGTCGAGCGCGGATGAGATGGCCCGTCTTACAGGCGGCACTGAATACGTGAAGCTGGGGACCCTCTTGGCCAATGGTACGATGATGTACGATGGTACACTGATGTGCGTTCAGCGGCGTTGTCGTCCCGCAACTCATCCCAGGGTTTGAATTCTTGAATGGCCTAGGGCTAAGACGAGTCGAATTTTCGACGCAGGCTGGGCCGCTGTGTACGAGATGGGTGGTGCGATTCACGATGACGTCCTTGCGACCGCGTACAAGCGCAGCGTGGAAGCGAACTACGCGGCGGCACATGCAGCCGGGGAGGCCCTGGGTGTTCCGGTGATGTTGAGCGCTGATGACTACCTGAACGATGGACCGGACGAGCTGGCGGCAATCCTGTATGTGTCCCTCCTTGCCGAGGCGTTGCTCAAGCTCACCAGTGAACGGCGGGCTGCCTACGTAATAATGGAGTTTTTGCGGCGGCGGCTGAGCTGGCGGCCGAGTGGGTTACGCAAAGGGTCACTTGCTCATTACATTGTGTAGTTGTTCACGTCCACATTCCAAGGTGCTGCCAGCTATCTTAATTACCGTTTACCTTCTTCCGCAGGCTATATGCACGCCTCCTTGGAGCAATTTAAAGCCGCCATGCGACAGCGCAGCGCAGTCCTCACTATTCAAACGTTTTGGCGGATGCGACAACAGCGTCACCAGTAAGCGACGACATGTTGGCCAAAACGCCTCCCTGTGATGACAGTATCTATAAACCTCTGCTTGTTGGGCAGGTACATGGCGCTCAGGAGGGCCGCCTGCATAATGCAGGCCTTCTCCCATAGGTGGCTTGTCCAGATGCGTCTTCGGAAGCAGAAGCACGCTACCATCCTCCTGCAAGCGGCGTGGCGGGGGCACATGGTTCGGTCCCGTCTGCAGCGGGAACGGCACGCAGTGATTGCGATACAAACTGCCTGGCGAGGTTATACCGTGCGGCGGGACACCCAACGCTTGCTGAACGCTACCTTGATCATCCAGCGGCATGTACGCAACTTTTTCGCACACAGCTGGTGGGTACATGGAGCCAGACCACTGCGTTCGAGCGAAGCTTTATGTAATCTAAATTTCTACAATGCAGGCGTTCGCACAAGTGGCTCATCGCTTTGCAGCAAAACGCAGCTCGGAAGATTCAGGCGGCATGGCGAGGCTACGTTGCACGCCGATGCTTCCAACTTCTTCGAGCTTCAGCTCTGGTAGCGCAAACATCGTGGCGCACGCGCAAGGCCTGCGAAAGGTATCGCAAGACGTGACACGTAGGTCATGACATATTCAGCCTAGCCTCAGTCGAATTCAGCCATGTGCATTGGTCCATCTTCCAGGTACCACCTTCTCCGGCAAGCCATACTCACCATTCAGGCGGCATGGCGGATGCGACAGGTGAGATGGATGCTGCTTATATGAGCAATTAGCATTGAGCTTGAAAGATTTATGGAACTTTTCCATAAATCCACAGAGTACCACCATAGAGTATCCCCACGCAATGGTTACAGGCGCAGCAGACATACGAAGGATACCGTCGCGCAGCTATCTGTCTCCAGACGGCATGGCGGCGGCATTCTGCAGTCCTGTGTTTTACGGAAGCACGCGCACGAGTCGTGTGCATCCAGGCCTATGTCCGGGGCCACCTTGCACGGCGTGAGGCCTTGACACGCTTGGAAAGCATTGTGAGGATCCAGGTAAGACAGACGGGTGAGACTGTCGGGATTCTGTCGCGCTCTTGTCTTCAAATCCAGTCGCCTGCCTTTGGACCCTGTCAGGTGGCATGGAGAGCTCTGCAGGCCCGCCGCCTTGCGGCAGCGTTGAGGCTCCAGGTCGACTTGTCCATAGAAAATCATGCGGCCTGCAAGCTGCAAGCTGTTGTCCGTGGTCACCTGCTGAGACAGCAACTCTCTATGCATGTGAGGGCCGCGGTTGTCATCCAGGCGTTCTGGCGTATGGCATCTGCTCGCCGCCAGCATGAGGCCCTGTGTACGGCAGCCGTAACCATCCAGACTGCCGTCAGGTGCGTCATGAGTTATCAGTTATCGGAAAACACTTTTAGGTCGATACTTGTGTTTGTTGTTGCTTCAGGTCCTGGCTGCTGCGAAGATGCCTATACGTCCAGCATCATGCAGCTACAACAATTCAGTGTTTTTGGCGGCGCCGCTCGGCGGTGCTCGAGTTGCGGACTGCTCGCATGGCAGCTATTGCAATCCAGGCCGCTTGGCGAGCGCGGCGAGAGCGAAGTTGCTTCTTGGCGGTTCGTCAAGCTGCTGTACGGTTACAGAGGGCCTGGCGACTGCGTTGCCGAGTATGCGCTGCAGTTACACTACAGTCGTATTGGCGCATGCTAGTTCTCCGCCGCAGATTCATCCAAAGCCGTCAAGCCATCATGGCGCTGCAAACCCGCTGCCGGTGCATCCTGGCTGTAAGGCAGTGGGAAAGCACGCGGAAGGCCGCAAGTATAGTACAAGGCATATGGCGCTGCACCGCAGCCCGCAGAGAAATGGCGCGGCGAGCCGAAGCTTTTTACAGTGACCTGCGGCGACAACAGGAGGAGCGGCTGCTTGAGATAGCACGGCACTTCATGCTCAGGTTTGTGTTCGGCGACTGACGGCACGAACCATGCTGCAATGCCGTTATGCGGGGAAATCTCAATTGCAGGTCGGCAGCTGCGAAACGTATTCAAGCCTGGTATCGCGGACACTTAGCCCGAAAAACTTTTAACCCGATATGGAAGCGTTACAAGGAGCTGGCGTGCCAACAGCGGGCAGCGATAGTGATTCAATCGGTAAGGATTCCCAGAATGTACCACCACACAAATACGAGGGTATTAAGAACAGTTTACCCCTTGTATTGCAGGCCTGGCGTGGCTACGTTGTACACATCAAGTACTGTAGGATTCGTTGGGCAGTCGAAGTGATTAACAGCATACTTCTGCCCATTTTCCGTGCTCGGCGGGAGTTAGCGCTGCTGCGCAGACTCCATCGTGCACGGGTGCAAGCTGCCATCACTTTGCAAAAAAGCGTGAGGGTATGGCTTGCACGTCGGCAACTTATGCAAGCCGTGGCTGCAGCCACGAAAATCCAGGTAATTGTACGTTGTGACAAGCTGTGATGTTGCACAGAGATCACACGGCGTTTCCGCCATTTGGACTTCCGCTGGCAGGCTGCCTGGCGAGGGCATGCTGTGCGTGCCCAGAGTGCCAGACCCAAGGTGCAGGAGGCACGTTGTCGGCTGGAACAAGCCGCGAGGGAGGCACGAAAAGCGCCGCACCGCCACATTGGGAACCGTACACGTGAGGCACTAGATTCATTACTACGGCCAAACAGGAATCTTCCCCAGGTAGGGTCCACATGACAGGGTCACAAGCCAAGATTTCCGGTTGACGTCTCGTGCTGCCATTCCAGGTCCTCGCTGCTGTGGAGGTCTTGGAGGTTTCCACCCGATATAGCCGGGACTGCTGTAAGCTTATTGCGCAGGACGATGGTGTAACGGCATTACTGCGGTTCGTGAGGTCGTGTAACCGCAGCAAGCCCCATATCGATGTTCTCATCCGCACCTTGGCAGCACTCCACAATATCTGCAGGTACGGCATGGCGGCCCTGCAAGCTAACCACCTACGTCCACTGGGACAGCCTGCTGGTTTCACGTGTCAAAACTAACCATAGTTGCCCTTCAATCAGGTATGACACATTCGTTCCGGACGTGTTTCACGCGGAAGAATGCCTGGCGGTCCTCAGTGAACGGTTACAGTACTTCCGGGATACTGAGGTAGGACACATGATTCGGTTCACGTGGATGCCTCATATACCTGGGCCTTCAACACCGCCATGAGGACGACCTTTCCTTGCAGGAAGTCTTCAACACAACGGTAACATTACTACAGCGGTTAACAGCAACAGAGGACCTTGCAGCCAATGTTCCGGCAGCGGTGCTGCGGCATTGGGAAGGAATACATCAAGTCCTGTTCCGAAAGGCGGACATCGAGAGGAAATACCTTGAGCGGCTTGAAGGTATGTATGGTTACAGGTTACAATTTCCGCACACGTGCGGGAGCAATCCGTAAAAGCCTGGGGGACCATGGGCGTATGTATGACTACACGAAACCTCCTAACGTACGCCTCGGTTTTGGTCATCGTTGCTCACTGTTCTGGCCTGCAGGTCAGAAGGGCAGTGATGTCTCTGCACGGGAATCTGCGCGCAAGTTAGTAATCGTGCAACAGCAAGTGCAGGCCTTGGAGGTGCTCATAAGCCGGGCATGCGACGCCGTAAAAGATGAAGGGGCACTCGCGTCAGACTTGGCGAACGACCAAGACAAGGACGGGCCTTCCCGCAGGCTAGGGTTCGGAAAGCCCGGACCGTTGGTAGCAACCGGAACAAATCAGGGAGTCCTCCCGATACCGGGCCTTAAGAATACCCTTGTGAAGAATGTTGTTCAGCGCTTGGCAACGGGAGGAACGGCCACTGGAGCGGTTAGAACCGCGGGACACAGTGGTGGCGGGGCAATAAGCTCGCCAGTGCAGCCAGGCAAGGGTCGCACCTTACCCAGGCGCATGGACGGTTAGTAATTGGACATAACCTACTGTTCCGGGCGTTTGACGTAGTAATTTAGTGTGCTGCAAAGGTTGGTGCCGGGCTGTATAGCATATGATTCCTGGATAAAGAGGAGATTCCTTTCCAGTCTTGTACCTGGATTCCTTGTAATCATATGGCCGCCCCGCATATTTCTCTTACTTCTTGTTTCCGCTGCCGTACCCCTGCACTGACGTCTATTCCGAAAAATGTATTGAAAATCTGTTGTAACAGTGGAATAAACTTTCTCCAATCTCTTGCATATGCTCCAGAACCTGGGTTCACCAAGTCCACGCTGAGATCCCTTGCTCATCTCTGTGAACTGTATTACTAGCCCAGAAGATGAGCGAACCCGTTGGACTCAGCATGTCATTAGACGACCTGATTAAGAAACGGTCGCAAACGAGTAGAGGAGGGGTCCAGGCCATTCGCGGAGGACGTGGAGGCGGTGGGCTCGGTGTACGCGCTGGTGGTGTAAGCAAATTCTCGGAACGCAAAAGCAACGGAGCAAAACCTAGTGGGGATTACTCCTGGCGCCAACAGCAGCATACTCAACAGCATCGGGCTCAGGGCTTTGGAGGCCGCCACGGCATTCAGAAGGCAGGTTTTCAGCAACGGCGCGGTGGATTCGGAGGCCGCGGTGGCTTTGGCGAGCGTCAGCAATACAGCGGTGCGACGAGCAGTGTCCACACCTACTTGGACGACAACACTGGGAACGTTGTCGTTAAGCTCAAGGACACGGAAGTTGTGACCATATCACCTTCCGGGGTGATCATACTGACTACGGGTGGCTGGTTCACGCAAACAACCCTCGATGTCATGAACAAGGCCCTAGGGGTGAGGATGGATGCACCGAAACGTACCCGATCGTAATTCCCTCCCTGTGTTGCTGGAGGGCCCCTGCTGTTCAGCGTTGTTGTGCCTGGGAAATTACGCTAAACAGCAGGGCCCTCCGCCACTTGGCTAGACAGGGCTTATCCCGTGTCTAGTTACTGTGTAATACCTGCATTCTGCGCTTGAACCGCCACACTTCTAGTTTTTAGCACAGGCGGCACACGTTTTCCCCTGTACCTACGCAGTATGCGTGTGCTATTGTAGGTGCTGCAGATCCGTGTCACGGCAACAGGTGATGTCCGTGACGGGACATGGCAAGTGGCCTATGGGCCACACCTGCTTCGTTTCTACGACGGCATTATCCTGCACCCGAAGAATCCCGCAACCGCTGCCCAGCGTGCCCCGATGGTATTGGCGGCCATGAATGGGGCGCCAGCCGCTACAGCTGGCGCTGGCGTTGGTGTTGGCGCTGCCAGCTATGCCTCTGGCCTCATGCTGCCATCGACGGCCGCCGGCATGGCGCCTGTCGGGACTAACCCGCTTGCGGCATCGGCAGCTGCGGCATCCACAGCAGCCGCTTTGGCGGCAGGGGTAATGGCGCGCGCGCGAGCGGCATTGGGTATGGGCTCGTCGTCTGCCTTTGGCGGCATGTCGGATGTCGCGCCAACGCAACAGCAGCTGGCACTGGCTGCACTGGCGGCGCAGCAAAATCAAGCCTTTTCGCTACATAATATTACCGATCACACGCCAACGGACTCCGATGCCATCAGGAGACTAAAGGCGCAAGGGCGCTTGTAAGGGTGAAATGCTATGGCTCGGCAGAACGTATGGCTAGACATCCGTGGTGTCGTACATTGTGGCGCAGTGCTTGGAAGAACTGGTGTAACACAAAATAGGCAGGGAACATTCACCGTTGGGGACGGCTAATATTATTAGAGAGCTGCGGCATGGAGAGGGCGACGCAGTGCCACGGGACTAGGGTCGAGACTTTATGTGGCAAAATATTGCTGGTCGCGATGGTAAGGTTGCAAGCTTATTTTGTTACATACTATTAGCTGTTGCATCGTTACATGCATCGCGCGATTGTTGTTACGTAACGGAGTTGCTATGTCGGAGTGTTTATGTAGTGGGTTAATCATTTGTCAACCACGTTACATACACAGAGCATGAGACGTGCAGTCTGTTCCAACCAAGGATACGTAATGCTGTTTGGCTTGGGAGGTATTCAACTCGATCAAGCATCCGTTGACTCATCCAACACTCAAAAAGCCCGTACAAAAACCTTGCGAGATCTGCGACAATCCAGTGCTTGCTAATGTACAAAATTGGTGACCTGGCGCCTGAAGCAACGCTGTTTTACCAGTCATGTTTAATTTGGCACCAGGCCTCCTGCACGGTATCAGTCCATTCACCTGAGAGAGAGCGAAATCTGAACAGCTGTCAACTCGAGTGGACCGACCCTTTCAAGGAAAGGTCGGAAACTCTACCCTCTCCGCAGTGCTACCGTGTCTTTGTAACCTAACATGCCATGCTCGCCGAAATGACTTCTGGACAAGCGTAAGTCACCAATTATCTTTTAAGAAGACTCGTCATCAAACGGTACGCAAAGAGGTCCTCTCCCAGCACACCCTTGTGCACAACATCACTCTTTCCTTGCTGACGTATGCCAACATTAACTGCAGTACCCCGATCCTTCACATGCTTCCCATGTTAGCTCCATGAGAATTAAGCACCCAACACCTAACCCCGAACTGCGAAGCTACCCTCTAAACCCAAAGATTACTGGCCATATCCTGCGCTCTGATTTTGCCTCCGCCGCAAGCATGATCTGCAGGCACACCCTGCCCTGCCAGCATCCGGTACTCCGAAACCCAACCGGTTGCCCGATGATCCTGCAACCTCAGCTCACATCTCTCGGCTACAGCTGAAGTACACCCATGACGACCAACCAACTATACCACGTATGCACAACTTGGACAGCAATGGCATTCCAAGCGGGGATTGAAGCTACGGGGGATGTGCGCATACGTACTCAAGGGGCCGCACACATAATCAAACACCGCAAATCGAAAAGTCACTCGCCGAACCTAAAAGCTGACCTCGGATAGAAGGATGTGTAGAAGTAGCTTCCCCGGAGGATTGCTCACACTGACATCTGTCCTACTTCGCACCATTCCAAAGCTCATGCGCTAATAAATGCTGACCCAGATTCGTGCACGTTTCGCCTCAGCTCACCGTCTTCCCGTAGCAAATAGCTGCGAGAAACAGGTTGTCGTCTGCAAGGGGCGACAGGATTTTGCGGCAATCAATAGATTGTACCCCGTGCACGCTTGTCACCACGTAATCCCAGCCTGCGGTTCCATTCTATTTAGCAAGATGAGTTTCAATGGAGAAAGCGAAACGAAGGAAAATTGTAGACAAGCTGCAATATTTGCCAACCCAACGTACCCCATTTCTCCTTGATGTGCTGTGTAGGGAAGTTGCTGGTGCGAAGGGTCTCCTGCGTCTCATCCAGGTTGGGCTTACGCAGGTTCGAAAGAACGAAGGCGGACTGATCGTGCGTAGACGCAGCGCAGGTAATCCGATAGCCCGCATCCCAGCGCTTGTGGATACCCTCAGATGGGTACTGGAAGTCAACCTCCACCACCTACGAAAGGGAAGTGGTGAACCTTCGTCCATTACTCCAGATCGTGCTATGACTACTGACTATGCTCTCACTACTGACGAAGCCTCAAGCGGCGGCTCGCACGCCTTCTACTGAAAAGGTTTTAGCAGCCTTAAACTTGCTCAGGTGTCAATACTTGTAGTTCCATGGGAACTTGGATGGGCCTTGATATTCCTTTAGTCATCTTGGAGTTGACAGGCCGCCGTCGATTCGGCTAGCTAGCCGTTTGTCTCCACCACTCCGGATTAGCGATAAATGTATCTTACGGGCAAGAAAAATCTGCACAAGATATTTCTGATGACGGTTGAGGATTACACGCCTTTAACAGCACTGCATAAGCTGAAATCTGCACAATGCGACATTCCCCCTGAGACGGGCGGCGATATGCTGCACGCTACGGAACAAGTAATCTATAGGAAACTAGCTCCCAATACCGCTGATGTCTATTATGACAACTAGGCTCGACTCAATATGCCGCCTCTTCCTGTGGTGGTTCTCTGTGCCTCTTTCCCATGAACATATTTATCGCCGAACCACCAGGGCTACGGGTTTCCGATTCGCGTAGACCGTGCATGATTGCCCTTGTTTTTTTGCGCCATATTAGCGATCGTAATCATCTGTGCAAACATCATGCTCCCAACCTGGACCACACATGTACCGCCATACACGCAAGGCCACACGTACCTGGTCGATGATACCCGTGGTCTTCGACATCACCACTGCCCATTGGTTGACGCACGTGGCCATGGCCGTCACATAGAAGCCTTCTCGCCACTTCTTCTTAATCCACTCGAACGGAAATGACTCGGCCACCTTGTACGACTGTTGCGTGAACTTGGTGCCTTTTGACATGACCACAAGACTGCTGTTGTTGTCGCTGCCCGAAACGGCAGTGATATAGTAGCCCTCCTCCCATTTCTCCATAATCCACTCCTTCGGCAGGAATGAGTTGTAGTGCACCTGACATGCGCAACGTGCAACAGCAAGCTGTTAACACTAGTCAACTATCGATGAGAAGAGTATCTTAAAACAGCAGCATCGACCAGGACACAACAAGTGGTGTTCTGTACGCTAGGTTTCCACTTGGTTCACGATTTACAAAGGAGCGGAGCGCAACACCTAGACACACACGCTACCTTGTATATCTGCTGTGTGTAGTCAGTGCCAGCGTCCATCACAATGGCCCACAAGTTCTGACACGACGAGACGCAGCTGATGTACAGGCCGTCCTCCCACCCCTTCTGCACGTGGACCAGCAGCCGGCTGGTGTTGACGTTGTAATGGTACCTGTTTTGGCGTGGCCGAGGGCGCATCGACCTTAATCACAACTACTCTTTGCAAATAACGACGCCTGACGGCGTGTAGCTTACCGCTGTTTCATGGGAGCGTGCTTGTTATACACGGTAATCCACTGCCTGGCGCCGTTACCGGTCCGAACCTTCTTCACGGGCTGGATCTCAACGTCCCCTTCGTACTCAGCGCGGCTGCGCTTGCTGCCCACCGCTAGCTGCAAATAGCAGGGCGACGAATTGCACTTAATATTGCACCTTGGAGCTAGTCATTATCATGAAACATTCTATGCAAAACTGCCATGGTGGGCGCACATCCCAGCGTCAGACAACTGTGAACAATTACCTTCAGTGCATTCTCAACCACCAACGGTCGCTCGGGAACATTGACAAGGGGCTCAAACATTGCAATGTATCGGGCGTAGTTGGGCTCATCCTCGAACTTGGCGTTCATGACGCTGTCCGTGAACTCGCGGAATGCTGGTTGACTCAGGCGGCAAAGCATCTCCGCGGACGTGGCCATCTTCTTCCGCGCGACCCAGTAGCCCTTGTTTGCACCCTGTCGTAGTTCGGAAACCAAAAGAGCAAGATGCGTCCTTGTGCCCTTCGAGTCATATGAAGCACCTAAGGTTCTACTGTAGAATTAACGTTGTGCGCGCCTTATCAAAACTCAACTGCTACATCGAGGCCCCAAAAGTATGAAATACATCGTCAGGAGAAAAGGAGCATCATCTATGCCCGCCAAGTCTCACAGCCCACGGTTTGCGGGACAGGCATACCTGGTAACCCTGCCAAGGCAGACGTCCCTTGAGGAGGAAGATCAGCGTGTACGCCAGAGACTCGAGGTCATCCCGACGGCTGCTTGTACGACCTAAATGCGCGTGCACGCTGGCGTAGCGAACAGTGCCTCGGAAGTCATCCGGACGCTGGTCGTACTTGACGTGCCCGCCGTAACGGCTGTCCCGATATTTCATTGCAAGCCCCAAATCCACGAGGTACAACCGCTTCGAGCGGTTGGTATCAGGCGGACCAAGTAAGAAGTTCTCCGGCTTGATATCGCCATGCACGTACCTGCCAAAGTTCAGTCGGCATGTAACCATATATAAGAAGCATCTACCGAGCACGTTTCAATCGAACGTTGCAACAATCCTAACATGCAGAGCATTTGTGTGTGTTGTAGACCACGCAGCTCATGAACACGTTCTTCGCAACCTGAGTTACTTACCCGCGGGCATGCAATGCCTGCAAAATTGTCAGCGCTTCCATGGCCACACACGCCACGTAGGCTTCCGAAAGGTGCTGCCCATGCTGGTTCCACACGTCCCATAGGCTCGGGCCCAAGAGGTCCATGACCTGTAGGATTGGGGAAATTCACTATGGATATTGACTTCATACGTGCTGAAACCGGAATCTACGCACAAAGGTAGCTCGTACCCATCCCACCATGATATAGAAGTCATCCTGCTGGCCCTTGTAGTGCACCTTGGGGATGCCGTAGACGTCGCCCAGTTGCCTGCATTCACAAAAGCTCTTCAATTGCAAAGAGGACGGCGGCGGATGGCACGGAGAATTCCAGCACTCGCGTTGCCTCACGCTCCGCGCCGCCCCCGGCCGCTCAAGTTCCCACATTCACAAACACACCAGCTTACGTGTAGATGGACCACTCATACGGGGACCCCGCAGCGCATCCTTTACTGCTTTTATGCTCAAATTTTAGTGCAACTTGATTCTGCCGGAGCAAATTTGCAAAAAACAGGAAGTTAGGCGCCGAACTGACCCAATGACGGAAAGCGAATCACATCCACGATACATTTAGCTGCATGACATAATAATAATTTCAAGAAACGCACCAGTGCCGATGCAGTGTCGGTCTCTTTCGGACACTTCTTGGCGTATACCCGGCGACCAAGCCAAACCTGGCCAAAGCCTCCTTTGCCAAGTTTGCGGTCGGGGATATAAGCCGGCCCACCTCCAACAACTACCTGAAAAAAAGAGTTGCAAACATTTTAAAGCGATAGCATAACGAGGCCGTTTCCACAAGAAAGCTTACCCGCTTAGGAACCGGGAACTTGTCAGGCCCATCCTCGGCAGGCTCCTCGACCTTGGGTTCTGGTACAAAAGCAGGCTGCACCGGTTGCTGCCTTGGCTGCACGTTCGCTGGTGCGGGCGGCGCGGCCAAGGGAGCCTTGGCAGCGGCCTTGGGAGCAACGTGCTTGGCCTGAGCGTTCAGCTTTACGTTCTCTTTGTTCGGGTCCGTCGACTGGTTTCGCTGATTCGAGGGAAACAGGTTGACCGGACCGTCGGGAGAAGGGGTCTCCTCAGGATGAACGTCGCGACCTGCGTGAGAAAGTGAATTCCCGATGTAAGCAACAAACCCCAAAGTTACCTAGAGACATGTAAATTCACTCTATGCAATGAGCCTAAAAACACACCCTGTGCCTGCGCGGCAATCCTCTGTTGCGCCTCTAGCTTCGCGGCTCGTTGAGGGCGAGCCCGCGGCTCAGGCATTTCCGGAGAGTGCCGATGAGATGGCTTGCATGTGCCGCCTCGCCGTTGCACACCGCACCGCAGCGCCTGCTACGAATCTGGTAACTTGCGTCTAGTCCTCGGCTTGATGCCTGATCTTATAATATAATTAGATCTATAAACGATTGTTGCTCTGCAAGGAACCGGAAACCGGATAACACCAAATTAGCAAACTAGCTTAAATCGCCTGCCGACAACCTTCTCAAAATTTTGCCTGTTGTAACTGTACTACTTAAGAATAGGTAATTTTGACAAGAATCTACACCGCAAAGTCATTCAGGATTACAGACTGCAATGTCGGCATGCTGAAAAAATGACAGCTTTTTCGCAAAGAGACCGTACTCCGCGGTACACGGCTGCATTGTTGGCACAACTAAGCAGGATAACCTCAGAGATATATTAGTTATGCTCCATTGAGCATATTATGGTGCTCTATAAGCACATCTTGCGGAGGTGCCTTACGACAAGTTAAACGATAACTGCAGGCGATGCCATACGACCTCCCCCAATGACAACATTCCTTATGATTGAAAAAGGCAAGTTGCACGTCGCAAGGGCTGGCATCTAACCAAGCGAACTTGGCACTGCAACCTGACTCATACAACCCCAGTCAAGCAACCCAAATCATGACTACTACGATGTCCCTGCGGAGTAACAGATTTCGGCCTGTATCAGAGACGCTGCTAAAGAACGATGCACACCGCATACCAGGAGGGCCCACTGGCCTTTGGCTTTCGTAACACCTGAGGCCGGCCGCTAGACGGCACGTCATAACTGATTCCTACTGAAAACATCCACCTGTCAACAAAGCAAGAGCCGCATGCACTTCGCTGCTATAAGGGATCCATGCCACCTAAAATAACCCGCGTAGGCCCTTGGTAACGCATCACGAACCCCCGACCGCCGCATGTTGCAAATCACGCAACAGCTCGCCCCAAGCTTTTGCCTGCTCTGCCGTGTGATGCGCTTGCGCAAGTGCGAAATCGCGTAGCACAGCCGACATCTCAGCGGCGCGCTCTTTCTGGAAACGGTTCAGCTCCTCACGCATTGTATCACGAATGGTCTCGTACCTGCGGAATTCGGCAGTGCATGAGCAGGATCTGAGTCCGAGGGTCGAGAGATCAAGGCCCATAAACGTGAGCCCCAGGTTTGCGCCCTTCCCATGCGTCCTGCGTTTCCCAGCTCGCACGCTTAAGCCGCCACAGCAAGACCCGTACCATGGCCGTACCCATCGCTCGCTGCCACAGATTAAGTCCTCACCCGAGTTTGGCGTTACGCAGCCGTTGGTCGGCTTCATTCACGTCGCGCTCCGTCTCAGCAAGTTTGTCCTCCTTGAGACCGGGAGTGCCACGAAGCTTAGCCAAGCGCACCTTCTTGCTGTCCAGGTCGCTTTTTGCCTGTCTCGATGATGGGGCCTTCCGTGAGACCAGTGATGCGAGGGACAATAATGTTCTTCTGCTCGTTTCTACCTGGCCTAAGAACCACGTCAGGCTCTGGCCGACGTGCGTCGTAACTCGCCCGATATCGGCAGCGTGTAATCCGGTTGGGCCAACACCTAAGAACTCCAGACTAATGGAATTGGTGGAATTCCCGTACATGCGAATGTAGCCGAATCGCCATACAACCAATCACCGCCCGAATCCCCCATCCCTCAGCACCCACCTGCGAATATGTGGACAACGCCGCGGCTCGGTCAGCCATGGCAACCTGGACGGACTTGATGGTGCGTGCAAACTCCTTCAGTGGCGCCGCGAACTCAACGGCAATGGCCTCCGACCTCGCCCGCGATAGCGCCGCTACCTCGTTGGCGCGTGTGAAGAGGCAGCCGAACGCCACACGCATGGGCCCTTCGCTGTCCTGTTTTCCCAGTTGCTCTGCAGCTGCGGCGAACTCCGCCAGAGCTGAGCCCAGGTCCGCCTCCTGTCAGCAGCCACAAAACACCCGATATGTCACGTAGGGCAGTCAACGTCACACCCATGCGCACAGAACGAGACGTTAATCCAGCCAGGGGGAAGTGCTTGCGAACAGACACAGACAGTGCAAATTCCGATGCCCATCACGTGCACCAGGAGTTTCTCGGGAAATGCAACCGAACACGTCCGTAGGCCTTCGATCACTACAGCCGCGATACCGGGAGAGGTCCGCTACAGCACGCCGACTACGTACGAAGATCCTTCAAAGTTCCCTGTGAACAAGAGCTTTCAAGAGCATACGTGAATGACATGGTCCCTCTCGTCCCCCCTCGCGAATTGATCGATCCCGAGCTAAGGACGATGGACCGCAAGGCTGGAAAGCAGCTTTAGTGGAATGCTGGCGGCCGGTGATACATAATGGCGGCCTTCCCCCCGTATCCCACCTTCCCCCCCACACACACCTTACGGAGCAGTCGCCCGGCCTGTCTATGCGCCTCCGTCAGGTGGTTCTCCAGACTATTCACATAGTCGCGGATCTGAGGACAGGATGGATGGAATGGAAATAATACTATGACGCGAAGTGTTGAGAAAGTTGATTTCCGACGCTCAAACCGACTAGGTAAGATGGGTGGTACATGCTGGACGTGCGAGGCAGTAAACCAATGCCAGGAGTGCATTGCAGAATTCCTCCGAAAGCCCTGCAAAGCCTCATTGTGGCACCTGTCCAGCACCACCAGCACATGCATCAGGAGGGAATTTCACCAGCTGGGTGCGCCTGTCGGGTTGCGACTTCACAGTATACATGTCACGCTACACGTGCTTGTACGGCGGCACCAGCGGCGAACCCGGCCGTGTGAGCTGCATCCTCCCCCCTCACCTTACAGACCGCTACATGCGCACAAAGCATGACAGTCCTCGCCTACCCCCGGGACGCAGTGGACACATGGAATTGCTGCCAGCCAATCAGAACTGACTGGCTGCTGCTGAAGTCTGCAGCGACATGCAAGACATCATCCCCAAGTGGGACCACCCAGGCCGCCTACCTTTATGTACTCGGCATCCTCCTGCATATCATCCGCCCTGCCGGACACCAGGCTCTGCGCCGAGTGCTGCAGGCTCTTGAACCATTGCGCAGCGGCCGAGACAGGCCGGTGCTGCGCGCTGGTCTCTGCCTGCCACTTGGCAGTCTCTAGCATCCACTGTTCGTCGTTGGCCTGCAGGAAGGTCTGCAGTTCCCGACTGTCCTTTAGGATGGGATGGCTAGCCACGCGGTTCAGAAAGACCTGCGGTTCAGGGGGAAAGGGGTTGGCAAGCGTGTGTGTGCAGTCGCGTGACTGATGTTTTGAAACATGAGATGACTTTATTTTCCTTAATTATCAACGCTTATACGCGCATCTCTGTTGTGTGAATCAAGTGCACGGTGAGCGCAAGTAGGCGAGTTCCCACAGCTGTTTCTGGGCAGCAAGGCGGGTGAGCATTTCTGTGCGCGCCGTGCAGCTGCCTGTTGCCTTGACATTCGTCCGGGATGGCCAAACAGAGCAACTTCTCATCTTTAGCGGCAAGCGAGGGAAGAAAAAAGACCTGCCGAGGTAGAGAAAGAGCTGGAGATCCTGGACATGGCCATCTCAATCTTCTAACACACACCGGTTTTTGCACTGACACACAGCATAGTACCCGTCTTATCAATCCTGAAGGCTCCATGCATACCTGATGCACGAACCCAAGGGTCGAAAACTAAAATCGCAGAATCTAATTTACGTCTCCCAAGTCCCCAATCAATACCCCATACACCCAACTCGCGCGTGTGGTTTACAGGCGTACCTGCAGAGCTCGCCTCCGCTGTTCGATGAAGTCCGTGGCCATCTGGTACTTTTGGACGGCAGATTTCTCTGGCAGAGGCGGTACAATGTGCCCCTTATTCTTCTCTACCAGCTTGTCATGCAGCCAGGCGAAGTCCCGGAAACGGCGCGTGACCTCGTTGAAAGGAGCATCGTAGTTTACGTGTGTCGTTTTCGTGCGGACCTTGTACGACACATATGCCGCCACGCCCTCGCCCTGCTTGACTGGGTCCGCAACCTTAAAGCATGCGGGTAGGAAATCAAGTGCAGAACACAAATAATCAAAGAGCATACCCCAATGCACAAGCTGCAAGCACGTACGGGGAGAAGGAGTGGCACCATGCAGAGCCATACGGGAATCGGTCTTGCATTCTTAATACCTCCAAGCCGCTTCTCGCTTCCTGGAAGTTGGAACGCAACCCAGGGAGGCACATGTGTTTTTCTAGACCCCCGTACCATAATGGATGCACATCTCTTGATTTAAGGGGAATAGCAAGCAGCGGACAAGTAGCAGGCATGTACACCGGACACACTCAGCGACATGATAAGCCCTAGCTACCGACCTCGATTTTGAACTCTTTGCTTATGGCCGTAACTGGCGCAAAAAAGTTGTTAGCACCATGATCCTGCATGACGCTCTCATATGGAGGAGGTTCCTGCGATAACGTTCGTGTCGAGATGACCATTATAAAGTAAGGTATAACTCTGGTAAACGACATTCGAGACGCGTACCATCCTTTTTTAGGCAAGTACCAAAGCCAAGAAGCACACTCAGGAGGAATCCTTCCTTGGATGCTATGCAGCCCAAGCTCCACCGTGGACGTTATCCCGACACTGTAAGACTTATTTTATTCTGTATCATCTAGCGGACATCCACCTGCTCCAATGCTTTATTCTTTTGCCGAACTGAACACTGCTTTGGCCTTTGGGGTGTCTGGACCTGAACGAACCTGCCCTGATTAGCGCCCAGGACCTTCGGCATAAGATTTCGCAATTTCACGAATAAGTAATGACCAGAATGGGTTAAGAACAGGACAGAGTTTGCCAATGATTAGCTCCGTTCATGCATCGTTGCTCCCTGATGCGGACCAAGCGTCTTTCATTCGGCTTCATTAGCTGAGGACATGGCAGCACATGCTAAGCTTCAGACTAGAACCTTCAAAGCTTTGCTTTTGAGATGGTATAAATTTTGCGCTGACAGCTTGTCTGACCCGTGGGCCGTTGAGTGTTCCGTACGGGGTCTTCCATAGCTCCCAAGCCATTCTCAATGATATCAGGGTGCACGCCTCCCCGCTAAAAAATATGACAAGTAAAGTCGGACATTACTTTAAAATCTTATGCGGGCTTTTGTTTTCTGTGAGTGTGGCAAGGTGGCATGGTTCTCAGCATCTGTGTATCGGGTGTGGATGTGACAGGTCAAAATATGGGAAGAGGACGGCCACAAGAGGAGTTGTCAGGTTAGGATGCTTTTCCTGAACACTTCCCACTTCCCACATTTTACGGTCATTGGGGCTTCCTCACCACGTGGAAGATGGAGCAATTCTTACAGCGGAGCCAGAACGGCTACAAGTGCTTCCATGCGTCTGTTGCACTAGCATCGTTTACCCCCGCAAAGCTGCAGGATGGGCGGCCCTGAAGGTTGGCGGTGTCTGAATGTTCAGGCACGCATGTCAAACATGCAACTTCCGCACTACGTTGAGGTCTTATGGGTTGGGGAGAAGTAAGAGCTAAGTTTTGCTCAGAATCATGGGCTCTGCCACGGCAGCGTTTATGCGAACACGGGCACAGCGAGCGGCGGCACTGCGGGCCGCAGGCATGACCCTCGTTGCTTCCACACCCTGCCAATCTCCAATATCCGTGCGCATACGCCACCTGCGCGAATGGGGTTGAATTCCGCCCTCCCACATGGACGGTTATGTACCTGCGCCTGGCTGTGTGCTCGGAGGTAATGTACTCCTACAGGTACATTCCGGACGGCTTTCACTTGTAATGGCCGCCGAGGTGGCTGATCCTGGCAGTCTGTCGTTGGGGAGAGCTTGGGCAGATGGGCGAGCTGCGCCTAGTTGCGACCGGGGGTGGATTTTGGTAGGGATTGAGGTCCCCCGGAGAACAGCACGCATACTCACGGAGCGCCACCAGCCTCGTGGTATCGTGGATCGCGGCAAGCTTTTGTTAGATTCCTTGGTGAGAAAGAAAGTGGCTCTATCCATCAGCATTGCGTGTTTGGACCTGTGCACTGCGTTCGGGCCTTTATGCGCTCTCGAATGCGACACAGTTGAACTGCCAAAGCTCAAACCCTTACTGGGCAAAACGCACACGGACTGGCCGGTGATGAAGTGCGAAGCCTTAGTTAATTACATAGAGAGGAATGTGCGAGAGTTTATGTGGCACTGTTCTAAGGTGTGAAGCAGCTGCGAGAGGGGTAGGTGCTGGCGTTACATGACAAATTACCACACCCCTTCTGCAGTTCCCCTGTAATCTGAAAGGTTGAAGGATTTGAAAGCTATTTGTTTAACTGCTCCTTGAATTGTTCTGGAGTTTTGGAAAATCCGCTCGTACAGTCGGTACGGTACGGCGCCGTTAAGGCCCGTCTGCCACAACTATCGTTCTTGCGCTTAAATGGTCATCGGCTTTATGGAGGCGTTTGAATGTTAGTCATTTGGTTGTACAGTGATTCAATTCTTGCATTATCCGCTTTCGTCGTCTGCAAGCCGCAGCTCGGACGGGCGATCCCTTTTTCCGGACACCGAACTTAAAACACTAGGTAAGTCTGTTGTGCTCTTTTTCATTTTCTCTAGTTATTCAAATTACGTGGAAGGCTAGGCTTAGCTCCTTCATTGACCCCAATGTCGCTGGGTTGTGCCTCGGGAAGCCTGGGTGGGAGTTTAATATGGCTCTAGCTCCTTCGTTGACGACAGAGTCGCTGGCGTGTGCCTCGGGAAGTCTGGGTGGACGTTTAATATGGCGAGCCGACATCGCACGTGTGCTTGCAGGCGAAGCTCAAGGGCAAGGAGTTCACACGATGAAGGCGAAGACACACTTCTTCAAAAATCTTGATCTCAGTTCGATCCTTGTTCCCGAGGATGCTGCCACGTTCACAGGTAGGGCTTATGGTGTCCCGTCGGCCAGCCCGAGTCCCGCGCCGTAACGATCCTTTCATTGGTGCATCTGCGATTTGTATCAATTCCGATCAGTATAAGATCAAGAACGGGGCTGTTGGTTTTGTCTCGAAAGTCGCCGACACAGGCTGTTCAGAACGTTAACTTCACATCACGACTGCGGAAACCTGTGCTCTACCACCCGCACCTTCACCCGTCCCGCCCGCACATAAACAATGTGTCAAGTTGGATATTTGCTAAAACACCATACCGAGCCATTACCCTAACCATTACGCGTGAACGCCCGCCTGCGCTCAGGCACCAAGGTGGTCTGCACGGTGGGTCCAAGCTGTCAGGATGTTGACATCATGTGCGACATGCTCAATGCCGGTGTGGTGGGCTGCCGTGTGGACCTGACCTGGGGTCCCCTGGAGTTCCACCGCAAGTCGCTCCACAACCTGCAGCTAGCCATGCGCAAGAGCAGGCGGCTCTGTTGCACCATGGTGGACACACTCGGCAGGGAGCTTATGATCCGTCGTCAGGTGGGGAGCTGGAGAGTATAATGAGAGTAGGATGCCTTGAATGCAATGCAAATTGGCATTACAGTCAGAGGTGCTGATGTTGGGAAGCAAAGGGTGCAGTCCTCAGGTTGGCAACGTCGGATGCGGGTGGCCTGAGGTCACAGGCGGAGGATTGGACGGGTTCCCGGGCCGTACAGACCGGGAATCTTTTCCAGTTGTTCGTTATGATGAATGTCATGCCACTGGCCCGTGTTCCCCCGGCAGCTCCTGGTGAAATGGCCGTTGTGGGCCCGGGGTGGGGAGCCGGGGGGCAATGGTAGCGGGGGGGGCAATGTTGACCCCCCTACCCACCAGCTGCGGCTTTCGTGGTCCATGCGTTTGCGCCATCGTGATGTGCGGCCTCCTGTTCCCCCTTGGATTTGTCCAGGACAGCAGCGGGATATGTGCAGTTGGCGCAGTTACCGTGGGATGGCTGTGAGTGTGTGTCTTGACAACAGGTCAATGGGGCCTTCAAGGGCGGGACCTGGCGGGAACTCCCCTCAGTAGTGCTGTCTGTGGCCCCATAGCATGTCACCTTTCATGTCCCAGACGCTTCCTTGCCCATGTCATCAACACATTCCTATGCACACCTCCCCACGAACACATGCACTTCGCCAGCACATGTGCGCGGATGTTTCCCTTTCCCTCCTACCTCCTACCCCCTGATCCCTTCTTCTGTAAGCCACCCCCCCCCTCCCGCCCGGCCGCCAGGTCAAGATTGGAGAGGACGGTTGGCCCATTCACGAGGAGTCCTTCGCCGTGACTGCGGGGCAGCAGGTGGTCATCACCACTCGTACGGATGTGGACGCCAGCGGCAGTGTGCTGCCCATTACGTACAACAAGTTCACGGAGATGGCGGTCAAGGGCGACACGGTGTACATTGGTCGGTACCTGGTGTGCGGAGCGGACTCGGCCTCGCTCTACCTTGAGGTGGTGGATGTGCAGGGTGAGGAGGGGAGTGGGGGAGGCGAGAGAGGAGGGGAGCGGGGGGATGGTGTGTGTATGTATGCGTACATGGTGTATGCGTGTATGTAGGGCTGGGTGTTTTGAAGTAGACCTCTATCTGGCCTGTAGCCACCAGTTTGGGGGTGAGTTGGTGAGGGGTGCTGATGGTCGCGTCCGGCCTTTCGGTGTACTGGTCGGTGTCCCCCAACTCCAGCTGATGCTCCCGTCTCTAGGAACACACAAGTTCCCGGTGTGGTCTCGGTTTAGATAGAGAGATGTTTGGAAGACGGGGCGGGAGGGACCGCGGGGCTGCTGGATCCCCTGTAACCTCGCCGTGGGGCCACTGGCACCTTGACTCCGGGGATGGGGGCCTCCGCAGCCCCTTGGTTGATATTCCTTGGTTTGTTCAGGATCATCATATGCCCACCTCGCTCTCCCCCTGGCGCGTCAACTCCCGGGCGCTTCTGGCCCCGTCCTCGACCCCGCTCGTCCGCAGGTGACGATGTTGTGTGCATAGCCAAGAACGATGCCGTACTGGACGGTTTGCTGACTGTGTTCCACGCCGAGCGCTCCTCCGAGGGTCTGTCCAACGTGCAAAACGACCTGCCGCTCCTGTCCGATTACGATAAAGAGTGCCTCCACATATTGGCTCAGGACTTTGAGGTCGGCAGGGTGGGGAGGGGATTGTACGGCGGGGGAGGGCGGTTAGAGGAAGGGGAGGGGGCTGAGGACGTGAAAACACGAATGAGGTACGGGTGGGGCATTGCTATGCGGTGTGGGCCTTGTGGGAGGTGGGTGGGCTTGCCTGACCCTGTAGAGCCACGTCTCCCTCCTCGACTTATCCGGTACTTACCCCGTTTGGGCCTGTTGTGTTTCATACCCCGGTGCCATTGGCCGCCGCAGATTGACTTCCTGTCGCTGTCGTACACTCGCTCTGCGGACGATGTGCGCGAGGCCCGCAGGTGAGGAAGTTGTCTGGAGCACTAGGCGGGGTGGGGTGGGCCGCCTGGGGACTGACTGCTGTGCAGCAGAGCGAAGGGGCTGCTCCCGGCGCCGGGAGTTCCATGGAGCGGAGTGGAGGGGAGGAGAGGGGAGTGGAAGGGAGCCTCTCACCAATTTTCGACACTAGGTTTTAAAAAATCAGCCAACAGGAGAGCCCTTCCCTTGTGGGTATCTCTTGCTTCCTCGCCCTCGCTCTGCCTGTGACCCTTCTTTGGTCATTGGTCGGCTGCCACCCTGCCAGCCCGCACCCGCACAGCCTACCGGTACGAGGTGGCGGGCAACTTCCTATCTGCGCTGGTGACCCACATTTCCCCTCCTCCCAACCCCTCTTTGGGGCATCCCCCTTTCCCTCCCCGCATCGGCCAGCTGCCGTTTTACTTTCCGCTTATGTTACTGGCTGCTGTTCCCCAACAACAGGTTCCTGGACTCCATCGGGATGTCCAACACCAAGATCCTCGCCAAGTTGGAGTCCAGACAGTCGCTGCTGAACTTCCAGGTCGGGGTGCTAGCGGTGGTGGTGATGATGGTGGGGCGGAGGGGGGACCCCTTTATCGGTCCGGCAGGAGAGCAGAGCAGGGTGCCTACCGTTCTCATGGGGGTTTGGACCGGGGCCTGCTGCAATGGGGTTTATTGGGGTTGCTGCACCCCACCCGCCCCCGTGTGGAACATGTGGATGGCCCCAGTTGGCGCTAATTCTGGTCCACCTGTTCCGCAGCTGATATTGCTTCTTGAATGATGTATCCCCCCTCCCCAGGGCATTTTGAACGAGGCTGACGGCATCATCATTTCCCGGGGTAACCTGGGACTGGACTGTGTGCCGGAGAAGATGGCGCTGGTGCAGAAGACCCTGGTGCAGGTGGGAGGGGGGTTAAAGGCTACGTGCGAAGGGGGGACTGTACAGCACTGTGTAGCACATCCTACCTGAGCTCAGGGCCGCAATAGAGGATGGGATTCTGTGTTGCCTGCCCTAGTGGGGCTAGGAGGTGTTGCGTTGCCGATGGAGCACAGAGCTGTTGTGGCTGCTGATAATCAGTTTGTTGAGGTGGTAGAACCGATTGGACAACAGTTCAGCCTGGGCCCCTGAAAACTCCTTCGCCGCAGCGTTTCCTCCCTTCAACACCCCTCCAACATACACACCCCTGCTTTCCACCTCACTCGCGCTCTTACACACGCGTCCAAGCACCCCTCTCCATCCATCCAACCAACCCTTCACTCGTCCCCCCTACCCGTATCTCCAGATATCCACATCTACATGTATACCTGTGTTCATACGTTCATCGCACACCAACTGATAACCCCCCTGACTCCTGGTTGTGGTTGTTTATTTCTCTCCTTTCTCCTTCCCCTCCCCTTCCCCACACACATATCCAGGCTTGCAACCTGGTTGGCAAGCCCGTGTTGATGACCCGTGTGGTTGATACAATGATCAACACCCCCCGGCCCACGCGCGCGGAGGCCACTGACGTGGCGAATGCTGTACTGGATGGAGTGGACGGCATCTTGTTGGGCGCGGAGACGCTGCGGGGCCGCTATCCGTGTGAGACCGTGACCACCATTTGCAGCATCAGCCGGGCTGCTGAGAAGGTGTTTGATCACCATTACCACTACGAGCACCTCATGGAGGTGGGGGAAAGGGGGGAAGGGGTAGCGGTGTGCGTCTGGAGGAACCTTGACATCGTGTGTGTCGATGGTCGTGTGCTGTGTGTCGGTGGAAGGAGGAGGAAAAAGGCTTGGGTGTTGTTGAGAGGGACGTACGAGTGCGGTAAGTCAGGTGGGTGGGGACTGGGAAGAGGAGTAGGGTGATGAAACCCTCCTTGGTGCCAGGTGTTGGTAAGGTTGCGGCAACGCAGTGGCTTGCACGAGGGAGGCCCTCTTGCGCGTGCACGTAGAGCCAGCCTTAGCAAAAGTGCAATTTTCCATGGTCATATCGCCGCCACCCCGCCGGAGCTGTGATTCACATGAAGGGGCAACCCGTGAACCTCCAGGACTTGGAGACGCTGTTGCCCCTTCCGTAAGTTGTTCGTCGTGGGCAGGTTATCAGTACCAGCCATGAAACCCCCCTCCATTACTCCCAATGCGGCGCTGCCGCCCTCCCCTCTCAGGTGGCCCTTCGCCCTGCCGCCGCTCGAACGACTCACTGTGCAGGTGGCCATTGATGTGGGTGAGATGGGCGGAGACCGTCCGGGTGTTCTGGGCGACTCTGATGAGGACGGGACCACCACCCCCTCGGGCGGCATTCCGCAGGGCGACGCCAATGGCGGTGGTAACTCGCCTAGTCGGGGATCGTCGTACCGTGGGTCGGGTCTTCGGGCCCACGGCGTTCACGGCATACGGCGGGATGACAGCTGGAACAGCGTCACCTCCGCGGGGGCCCACCACCAGCTGCCCTCGTTGGGTTTGGCGGCCAAGGCCATGGCCAGGTTCTCGCAGGTGGCGTCCACAGGGTCTCTGGCGGGGCTGGGGTACGGCAGGCAGGACGTCACGGGGGCAGCGTACCAACGGGCGCCGTACATCAGGTCAGTGCATATGGAGGGCGGTGCGTTGGGGATGGGAAGCCCCGAATCTGTGAGATGTTGTGTCTCCAGCCCAGCTTTACGCACTCCGTATTGTTCCCCTCCTGCGCAGCAAGCTGGAGTCCATTGCCTCGTCTGCTGTCCGCGCGGCCGACCGCGTCGGTGCCTCCCTGATTGTTGTGTACACCCACACGGGCAAGACTGCCCAGCTGGTGGCCAAGTACCGGCCCCCTATGCCCATTCTAACGTTGGTGGTGCCCCACCTGGTATCGGACCAGCTCAAGTGGAAGCTGGAGGGCAGGTGGGCAGGGGGGTTGACGGCTGATGGAGGGGACTGGGGGTCGCGGCTTGGAGGGAATGTAAAACGACAACATGAGGAAGAGGGGGTGCAGACATATCCCGCGGCCTTGATGACTCCAGGCAGGGCACTGCTCCCCCTCGACCTGTACAGGGCTATTCGGTGGCCCCCCCCCCACACACACGTGCACACATGCACACACCTGGGACCGGGGCCCCTTGTGATTAGTGCTGCCAAGATCATCTAGTCGTGGAAAGGCTTGGCGACTTGGCAGTCTGCGATAACATCTCCCTCCTCACATTCCCGGTCTGTGCTGGACGCGATGGTGAACAGAGTGATATCCGCCACCTTCACAATGATCCCGGGCTATAGGTTCCGTTATCGTAACCCTGATGGCGGATGCTGCTCACCCTCCCTCTTTCCCCATGCAGGTCTAGCGCACGGCAGTGTCTGATAAGCCGCAGCCTGCTTCCCGTGTTGGCCGCCCCCAGCCCCAGCGGCGACCAGTTGTTGCAGGAGGCGGTGGTGATGGCCAGCCGGGTGGGCCTGGTGAAGCCGCACGACCATGTGGTGTGTGTGCAGCGCATCCACGACGACTTCTGCGTCAAGATCATCTCGGTGGACGAGCTTGGTGCAGGTGGGTGCCGTATTGATAAGCCTGTACACGTTGCCTGTACGGTGTGAGATCGGCCAAGTGTGGATAGGCTTGAGGTCGGGAGCGCGATAACGTTCCTAGAAGGGGCCATACAGCTGTGAGTCATAAGAGGTATCTAAGCGTGTTTGCGCGCAGCTTGCACGTGTCCTGCTCTCTGTGTTTGGCTGGTTTTTGTATGAGCAATGAGCAAATGAGTTGGTCGGGAAACCTGGGGCGGGATATGGGTGTGTACGTTGACGGGGTGGGCCCATTGGTGTCATGGGACGAATCTGCTTCGAAACCGCGTGTGCACCCAAACATCTTGAATTGCGTCAATTTTGCGGCGGTGGAGCCGTTCACGTTTTTTTTCACTTACACAGCCGTGTGCCTGTGTTGGTGAATGCCCGACGCGGCCCTCCGGATCCGCCGCTCTGCAGGCATTAAGCGCGATGACACCGTGATGAACCACTCGGTGTTTGGCATCAACACTCAGGCCTCTGTGCCTACGCCGTCGATTGTGCAGCATTTTTCCGGCCACGACTCTCCGCGGGTGCATAACAATCCCATTGGGAACAAGTTCGGGCCGCTGCTCCCCGCAGCCTTATTGCAGCCACCGGCCTTCACCGGGGCACTTGGCGGGGGAGTTCTAACACCAACCGGGTTGAACGTTTGAGGGGGCAATGCCGAGGTGGAATCCCAACGATGGTAGGGTCGGAGCTAACATTCAACGTATAATTTATACCGAGTGATATGGATCTTGTTGTTATAATGTGGCTAGGAAATCAATTATGCAGTACAATCACGGCGCTAAAGTACGAGGATGGTTTGGTGAATCAGACTCGGCTATCCTTTTAGCTGCACGTCTGGAAAATGCTTCGGTCTTGAAAGTTTGGTTACGCGATGCAGGGACTTAAATTGCCTGCCGTACATCTATACTTAGTAGTTGGCAGGAAAGAGGGCGATGCAATGGCAGGGAATTCGCTTTCTGGTTCCACGTGATCTTCTTACCTTGTATGTTTTTGTGAAGATAGTCTCTTACCGCACTCGTTTAAGTGTTGCGTGTCTTATGTGGATGTGTATCGCGATGTGGATGTCATTAAAGGCGGATTTATCCATTTGGCTCTCGCATGCACCGAAAGGGGCATGCCGCCGGCTGCGGTCTGATATTGACAACGCGGGAAGTAATAAAGGTTACCTTGTACTATTGTAATGATAACATTCGCTCCGCAACCTGGCAAAATATCATTCTACATCCCCGCCTAGTATGAGCTGAGAAGCTCCTCAGCAGAACGCCTAGTTTACCTAATCCATGGCAATTTTATTGGAACCATACACATGGATGCAGAGGATCTATGCCATGTCGTCCAGACAAAAAATGGAGATGGGTACTAACGTCAAGATAACCTCCCGTAAGTTCAAACATGCAAATCGGCAGCCGAGGGAAACCCCAAGGCCAATTTGCGGAATGGCACTTACTAGTCAGGTCCAGGGCCCCGAAGATAACGGTTGAGCAACCATCCCGCATTTCACCCGCACCCGCACCAGGATGCCCGCTGCAGTGCTCAGCATAGCAATGGTGCCATAAACAATTCTCTTATGTATCAAAAATCCCTTCCGGGATGCCTAAATTAGCAACCGCAATCTTTTACTCCAGTAGAGTTCGAAACAAGAAACACACGGGTCACAACCGACATGTATACGCTTTCCTTCTGTAACTCCAGGCACGCCACCAGCACGGATGCAAACCCCACAGGTCTAACCCCAAGATCAGTCTCCACTGCGCCTACTTGGCTAACACGTAGATAACCGTAAAAATGACACACGCCGCAACGACGCCGGACAGCACCAGTGTATCCTTCGACTTCTTGCGACGAATGGCGTTCAGCAGGCCATTAACTACTGGGAACCGGCTGCCCACGGTAACGAGTTTGTCTGCAATGCCCTCAAACATTCGTCGCTGTTGCATTAAGTTCCCGGACACGTTCGAAGCCTGAGACAAAAGGTCGTCCACCTGCATGAATAGTAGGAAGCGACCCGTGCCACAAGGTGCGTAGGTTAGCGTCATCGCTTCCCAACGCAAACCCAGCCCATGGCATGATTACGACGTTTCCCGCTCACCATGTTCGTCGAGTTTTGAATCGTTCCCCGCTCGCGCAAAAGCGCCCCCGACGAACTCTGCACCTGTACCAACGTTCGCAGCGCGCAGCATGGGGCCTCAGATGCATGCTAACACTGCTTCGTGTGCGAGGCGACATCCTAGCTTTTGTCACCGGACAGGTGTCCAAACCAGCACGTACCTGCACGCTCAGTAACGGGGTCTCTGTGCTTCCCGCAAGCAGTTTGACCCTGTCCAGAGCTGCCCCCAGCGTAGCGTTCACCTTGCGAAATTCCTATTTCAGTGTTTGACACGCGTCAAATGGCGAGGGGTTGCTTGCAGGGAAGGGGGCTGTGGGAGGGGCAGCGGCAACTTGCAGCCCAGCATTGCGCTTGCCCATACACGCGACTTTTCCTCCTATACCTGTGTAAACTCCTGCAGGATGTCACGATGCCTCGCGAGCGTGTGGGATCGTGAGTCCGTGCTGCCACCCACAGTTGCTGCCATCTCGTCGTTCACGTCCGACAATCGCTGCAGCAGGTCCTCCACTTCCGCTGCTTTCGTCTGCGCAAGCTGCTGGTCATACATGCCACAAGGGTCAGTGAAACATCCTTCCGCTTTTATTTTGCGTAAGAGATACAAACGGCAGGACACCTACCTGGTCCGCCCCAAGGGCTGCATTGTCCGTGCTGTTGAGCTTGTAACTTGCTTCAAAGCTTGAACAAAGCTTGGTAAATGCTGCAAGCTTCACATCAAGCTCGCCCTCCAGTCTACGCGCCTGTTGATGAGAGATGCAACTGCGGGACCATCCCAGAAGACATGACCCGGCAATAGGTGCATTGATCTTACCTCCTTGCGCAAATCCTCCCAGACACGGGTTTGTCCTGGCGCCCGTGGAGCTGAAGGATTGCTGTAAGGTCCGTTAAGCAACAAATGGTCAGCTTCTCATAAAATCCCCAAAACTGACGCCTCTTGCATACCCACCGATACGCCATGTATGCCGTTGCTACGTGTCGACCGGACGGTGCCTCCGAGAGAAACATATCACATCATAATAGCCTGCACCCTCAGTCAATTTTGCAAGGTAAAATACCCAAGGAATGAGTACGTAAAGAAGCTCTTTGCCTAGTAATCGTGTGAAAGGACTAGGTAAGACCGTAGAAATTTGAGTTACACGAGAAACGTATGAATGCACCTATATAGCTGGGCTTATGGTAACGGCTACCCTTCGCATTATCTCTCGTGAATTTGCTTCGTGCCCTTGAACGAGAGATGCCATACCGTACGTGGCCCTTCTGCTCATGCCGAAGTGCGGAAGAAAATCGCTTCCAGCATCCATTTCAACCTGTAGAGCTACCTTTTTACCGAAATACTAGTTATACAAATACGTTATCTTCCGTGGTGCCCATAACATATTCCGTGTAGATCTGCGCGCACTTTGTTAACTAAGACACCTGTCGGCAGTGCTGAAGCCATGCTGCCACGACCAACTACGCATTCTAAGGCTCTGGGTCCTGGAGTTGCTGGTCCGGAGCTTGCCGTGGCGACTTCCGCAGTGCTCGACCGGCCCCCTCAGCCTGGTGCGCACCTGCCGCTTTCAGGAGCACAGCCATGCGCCGTCGACCCGGCTACACTAGCTGACCCGCGGCAGCACACTAAGTATCCCTACGTGACTGGCACTTCGGTGATGGCCATCAAATACAAAGACGGTGTCCTCGTTGGATGTGACACACTTGGAGCCTATGGCAGTACGAAGCGCTACAAGAACACGCAGCGTATCTACCATGTCAACAGCAAGTGCGTCGTCGCTGCGGGGGGCGAAATCAGTGACTTCCAGTATATCACAAACCTTCTGGATGAGCTCACTACTGACGACTATCGTACTGATGACGGGATAGAGCTTACCCCCCAGGAGGTGCATTCGTACCTGTGCCGCGTAATGTACAACCGGCGGAACAAATTCGACCCCCTGTGGAACTCGCTCGTGGTGGGCGGCGTGCAAGAGGGCAAGCCTTTCCTCGGCATGATAGGCATGATTGGTACACATTACACGGACAGCCATGTCACGACGGGCTTTGCAAACCAGCTGGCCCGGCCGCTATTCCGCGAGCGGCAGCAGGACGACATGTCGGAGGAGGAAGCGCTCAAGCTGATGTACGACGCCCTCAGGGTGAGGGGCAGGGGGTGTCGTGCTACTTGCGATGTCTGCCTGCGTGGTCTCGGGATGTTTCTTTCTCTGGTTTGCTTCATGGGGAATGCCACCCGCCTAACTGCAATTGGGTTCGTCGCTAGAGCCTCTTCCGTTGTGGTTCCTAGACCTTGTATGCAATGGTCTGGCTATACTTCATTGGCATTGAAAGATCAGAAAGCCGCTCTTGCTGGTCGGCGGTGTGAAGATCATAATTCCACCGTTAGGACATCGCTCATGTATCTTTGCCCACTGTTGGTTCGACTTAATCCCAGATCCTTAGGCCCGCCCTGACTTTACCCCGCCCCCATCTCTTACCCTTGTGAAATACCTATCGCTCCTGCCAGGTGTGCTATTACCGCGATAAGGTGTCGATTAACAAGTTCCAGATTGCGAAAGTCACCAAGGACGGCGGGGTCAGCATTTCGGAGCCGTTCGCTCTGGACATGCGCTGGGACTACAAGTTGTTTGCACAGCCGACGAAGTGGGCCGTGGGTGCCTGGTAGCGGTGCAGGCGCATGTAGTCATGACAGTCGTGTTGCATTTTGCGTAGCTAATGCGGGGCAGGGCTACATAAGGTGCCGGTGGCCCCGCAACATGGGGTTGGCGGTTAGGCAGGGGTCACGCAAGTCTCAGGCATGCGATGCGTGCGGCGTGTACGGATGTGCATGTTTCCAGGAGGTGCAGCGTGCCGCCGGTGCGCTCACGCGCGTGGGGAGTTGCCTGCACCCATGTCGCCTCCAAGGCGCATCGTTTTCCTTGGCACTTTGTGGTCATTAGCTTGGCGCATTGAGTTCGCGCCCAGTCAAAGGCAGGGCCGCGTCAGGTGTTCAGACAATGCGGGTGTCTTGCCTGCACTTGCTAGGGATTGAGGGCGTAGGGTTTTTCGTGGCATAATACATCGTTACTCGGCCTGCAGCCCGTACTTAATTTGCCGTAGTTGTTTGACAAGCCATGATTAGTTCCCAAAGCTTTTTTAAGATTTAAGAGTTCGTGTTTCCTTTGGAAAGGGACGGGCTGGCAGATAGGGATGTGTTGCGTCATATACTTTACTGGCCAAGTGAAATCGACATTTTTTGTGTTTGTTAGACAGCAGCTACGACGGCTGTAAGTTCCGTTACTCAGTTTTCCTTGCGAAGGCTAGCTTGTTACGGTGGTGGTGAGCTGTGAGCCTCGCCAGCACCTCCTGCTTCACCGCGCTTTTTGAAGCTTTCACAGGCCGAACCGTTAACAACGGATTCTCAGTAGTCGACCAAACAGAGACAACGCTAACCGACCACAACACACGCCCTAGCAGTCCGTGTTCCCAGTGCAATTCCGCGACGCGATGGAGTACAAATAATAGACTAATGCGTGTTCAAGGGGTGTGCATATGCATGCATACGCACGTGCATCACGTTGTTTAGGCACCTGCCCTGGCAAGTAGCTGGTGTACTTCACGAATCAGTCCATCTAGCTCGGCCGACGATAACAATGGCTCCGCAAAAGCCCGCGACCTTATTAAAACTTTCCAAACCTTGCACGGGTTGAGCGGGTGCGGACAGCCTTGGGGTCAAAACAGTACTGGAGCCTATGCATACTTCCCAGAGCAGCACAGAATCCGGAAACGAGTGAGCCTGCAATTGCAAATATACTGCCGCTCCCAAGACCTTCAGGGCACTCGCACAGCACCAAAGCATGACAAACCGCATAAGGCCAAATGTGGGAAAATGTCATCCACGCACCTTCATTGGGCAAAAGAGGTCGTGGAATTCAGAGATGTATCTCCACGGCATGAACCTCTGAAATGCGCAGGCAAGCCAAAATCCATTAGACCCATCTGAACATTGGCGTGCCCTTGACAACATTCACCAATTTCGCAGTGCAGTTCGGGCCCGCAGTAGACCCATCGGCATGCAGCGGTGATCGGCATCCCTCCCTTGAACGACAACCACCCATACATCGACTCTTCACAAAATCTAACGTGCTATCAAACCTACACGTGTTCCACAAAACTCCAACCTGCAAAACATGCAACCACGTTTGCACGTGCTGTGACCCTGCGTGCGCATATATGCGCGACTAATCTGGGCCCCAGAATTCCTGGACGAAGTCACTTACCGCTAATAGGAAGAACCCTGGTGAGGATATTAAAAATCTGCGTTCACACTTATGGAAAGCACCCGCTTGGGCCAGTATCTGATAATGCACCTCAAAACATTTAAGCCAAACTGCAAACAGACACTACCAATGTCCCCCCGATGTAACGCATGCCGTGTCCAAACCCTCATTCCCTGCCTGTGCCCATGGGGCCACACCCGTCGGCTTTACAAACACCTGCTCAGTGCTCGCATGCTCTTCCACATCTGAACTTTAAAAACCCTTTGCCCTCCCCCGGGTTAGTGGGTGCGAGGCATCCTCATCCCCCTCTTCGTCATCGCTGCACAACGTAAACTGCCCAGAGTCGGCTGCTGTCTCCGTCATCAGAGGCCGAGACCGCGGCTGCGGCCCACGCTTGGCTCCCCGCACAGCCGACGGCGCCACGCCTGGTGCCCCCGATCCAGACCCCAATCCCTGGGTGCTGGTCGGCAGCGGCGCAAGCTGGTTGCCGCCAGCCGCTACCGTCGATGAAGTCGGCGCTGAAGGTATCTGGCGGTAGCGCTCTGCGTCCATCTCTGCCTTGTGGCTTGCGCGGCGAGGTGCAGACGTGGACGGGCCGGCGCCCACAGTAACGGTTGTAGAAGGCGCCGGGGCAGCGCTGTCGCCATCGCGTGCAGTCGAGCCCATAGACTCCATGGTGATGGCTGTGAGCAGGTGACTGACTCCCCGCTCCTCGGCGTCCTCTTCGCTGAAGCCAATCATGAGGTAGCTGCTCTGCTCCTGAGGCCTGTAGGGAAGCAGAAAACGGGCGGGTCCGGGAGGGGCGCCAGGGTTGGTCAAGAACCTGAAGTTCACGGCTTGCTATACAGAACAAACAGCTAGCATCCGTCCATGATTGTGATACAGTCCGCCACGGGAGCCGTGGAGATGATGCTTGCTGCCCTGATGCGACAGGCCCTGTCAAGTGCTCGTTCACCGTTTGCTGGCAGCTGCTTCATTGCTGCTGAACAGGTTGGCCGTCATTCAAACCCGCCATCGGCTTTTACGTACAATGGTACGACTACATGGCGAGAGCTAGCTGCTCGTAAAAAAGACTTAGCAGGTAAAGTAAGAAGCGGAACGCCCAGGCGTGCACCAGAGCCTCAAGGGCATGGGCATGCACGCGCGACAGATGACAAACTACAGCATGGAAGGGCTTCTCATGAATTACTCTAAAACAGCGTGGCACAACTTCAATTTCGTACATGGTGACGTACCTGAATATTACGAGCAGCACAATCATGAAGAATATGTAGAGCGCGAATTGCAGTACCTGCAGCGTGCTCTGTACAATGCTGTTGATGAAGAGCGGCAGCAGGATGACGCCTGCGCGCAGATTAACACCCTCAATTTTGAACTTAGGAAAACTGGCTTTCAGGCAACCATGCAGGGATGAAACCTGTGATATGATATGACGGAGATGCGGCGCAAGTACACCGGTGCCATGCTGCAGTAACAGCAGCCAACATCAAACTGGACACACGGGACAACAACGGCAAGAAGGCGCTGGGCATCAACGAAACGTAACGGCCACGCGTATCCCTATACGCCCCAGCCGCACACCCTTGCTTACAAATCTCTGCAACCAGATACGACGAGACACCAAGCGAGAAGCGTGACAGCAGCTTCTTCTTGGCCGTGTATGCCAGATGGTCTGCCACCGTCTGGTTGTCCCCCTCGCCTGACTCCGGGTCCTGGGCTGAAGAGGGGGCCGGCTTGGCGGACAGCGTCTTCCCGGGTCCATTGCCTAAAGCGGTGTAGGCGTCCGTAAAAGGATTTGCTGCTCCTGCTTCCTCGCTCAACTGGCCAGTGCGCCGCTGAAGGCAGTGCACAGGCAAATAAGGCCAGCGGGCATCATGTGCAGATTAAGCTCGGGAAGAGTGCGCGAGGCGCTCGGGTGCGCACATAAGTTGGGCCGATGCCGATGGGCTAGCCCTGGAGGGAAGCTGGAGAGACTCGTCCACGGCGTTTGGGGGCGCCTCCCATGTGCAGTGCAGCATTCAATAAAGTGTGCCCTTTGGGGATAACGTATTGTCCACACCTTTTCCCTAGGCTGCCCTGTGCTTCATATCAACGCAGACGTCAGGTCCGCAGCCCTCTGCACCCTGTCGGGCAGCTCCGTCCTCACCTTGTAATCTGCCTCCAGTCCAGCTATCTCCTTACTCAATGCCTGTGGCGGTTAGTCAAAAAGTGGGTAGTAGGGGGCATAAAGATACGGCACAAAGCAGTGCTGCGCGGCATGCTTCCCGCAAAGATAGAAGCTCCGCTACCATAGTCACATAGTACCAGGCCCGCGTCGCTGATAGCCTCCGACTGCACAACCCGTCAACCCTGACAATATGCCAAGTGCTGCAGTTCAAGCCCTCCTCCCCGCGCAAACTGCAAAAGTGTGTGAAGTTCATGCGGGAAACTTATACCCAGACGGCGGATTACCTGCTCATGCATCTACCAACACGCATTCAGCTAGTTGGCACACCCATACCTCGAAAAGGTAAAGCCACGCCAGGATGAGGGCTGCCAGGTTCAGCACCGCGCAGACAAACCACATACTGGCCATCAGGGTATCCATTTGGCCTAGGTCTGACATGTCGGACGTGTTGGAGGAACGCGACTGAGCCAGCGCCAGGAAGGAGTAGTCCGTGATCTGGGGCCGTAGGAAAAAAAAAGAGTTTCGACAGTTGCGACCACCATTCTGGACGCTTTGGGTATAGCATTCCCAATTGAAAGAGCAATGCAACAGCAACGCTCCAGAGGATAGCTGAAATAAACACAAACGTTTGGAGGTGACCGGATCCGCTCAGTGATGTCATGGTGCCCGTTCAGTAGGCAACGCCCTGCCCCCCGCCTTGCCGTCCGCCAGATGCCAGGACGCGACCAAATCTTCGGACCGCCTTACTTGCCCCCCGGCATACTGTTAAGGGGATCGCGTAGGTGTACGGCCAACTCACCAGGCCGGTAACAAGTACAGCTGTTGGAACGAATACCACGTGCTGCTTGTGCGGACCCAGTTCACTCCGCGTGATGCAATAGCCACTGGCGATAACCAACAGCACAGCCTGCCCGAAGGAAAAGGACGTTTGGTGTTGCTTAATAAGATGCCATGTCATGAGTGTCCCTGTACCGCGGCAAAACCCCAGGCTGTTGCAAACCAAGCTCCCTAAGAGACGTCCCAGTCGATAAGCTGCTCGTGCCCATCAGATCTGTGCAACAAAAGCAGTACCCTCGCAGTGCTGTTGTGTGAAATTTTGTCTCCTCACACAGCTGCTTCCTGACACTAAACTCCACCGAGAACTGCACACCGGCCTTACCAGGAACATACTGCGAGATATGTTAAAAAAAAGGAGGTACACCAGATACCCAAGCAAACCGGCTGGACCACCATTCTGACCATGACCCTTTAAGACGTGGCTGGCGTAGGCAACGTAACCGCTGCATTGAATCCCGTTGCAACAGATGATGAAAAGAAGAGCGGTGAAAATAAACCATGCTCGACTGACAACTTTGCGACGTAGCATCGCATAGACGCATGCGAGTAGCCAGAGGCCCCACCACGCAGCGCATTTCACAATGAAAAAGTAAAAAGAGAATTGGACTGTTACCGAGTCGTCTGACTCGTAATCCGAAGTTGACATAATATCACTAGAGCTGCCATTAGGTTCCACAGCCATGCTCAAAGCTTTTGCCTTATAGCGTATCTTGTGTTGTGCCTATGGAAAGTCCGCAACGTAAAAGAGCAACAGGTTTTGTCTTAGCGGAGTTGGTTCTGGAGCCGCAAAATACCTTTCCAAGCTAAAGGTAACCTGCAACCCTAAGTTGTTACCAACTTGATCATCGTTTACTGTACACACGCGTGGGAGTTAATGGGCCAATGATACCGCTACCGTCAACAATCCTGGGTGAATAACAATCCAAAGTCTCGAGAGGTAGTATAATAGCATGCCATAGGACTGCGCCTTTTTGCCTTCGTGCAAGTGCTGGCGTTCTTACAGCTTGCCAACGATTTCCGCGCATCGAGAACATCTAATGTAAGCAGGAGATATGAGAAGCAGCACCAAAGGCAGTCACATCAGGCAGCAAAAGAAATGTGTGTTCGCAATGTTCCCCCTTATTCTTCGTTGTGTATCATGGCGCTGCAGCTGGTTCTCCACCGTTCTCCCTTTCCGTGACATGCACATCAGCATACGGAGCACGGATTCCCGGCACCGAACTTGCTGGATGGGCACTTCATGGATAAGCCAAGAATTAAACGAAGGAAACCCAATGGGCCAGCTCCCAGATTACTCGTCCACAGTGCTATGTTACTGACGAACAGGGATGATCAGGAGAGGGATAGCCTTCCTGATCTGGCACCCACTAGGAGTACCAATGCATAAGTACCCGCCAAGCACGCGAGTGCCCATGCACGTCGTGGACGTTGGTAGAACCTAAGCAGCACAGTAGGGTCACAAGTGGACAGTTAGGTGATAGCGGACGCAGCGGCTGAGCCGCTTTTTGAGGCTGTGGATATTTTTAAAGGATCATGCCCAGGCACGGGGTACATAGGCAGGAAAATCGTGTACATAGGCATGGGTAAAGCAACCCTCCGCGGCATATTCATAGTTTTGACCATGGCAAACAGGAACTGGCTGAATTGCTTAAATAAGACTGTGGGGTATTGGAAGACCTGTTGTGTACGGCATGACACATACCAAGGGAAGCCGCAGATGAATTGAGTTTTGGCAAGTGTTGCGTGTTGATGTTGATGTCCTGGAAGGAAGATGGGCTGGCTGTTGTAATGACGACGGGTTTGTATGTGGGACACCTATCCTGTCACAAAGCGAGACTCCGTTAATGTTGCTTATGAAAGGGGATGTCACAAACACGATGCTGCAGGTGCCCTGCTTAAACAACCAGAATAACAGTGCCCTGCCTATACAACCCAGCAGAAGGTAGACACATGCGCACACAGCCCCTCACATGCAGTATCTGCGGGTTATGATACAAAACCGCATACACCATGCCCGCCTACTGGAGCCATAACCCGTGCATTCACCCATCCCCACTTGATCCGAGACACGCGTGCACAGTCTGAGATACTCTTTCTGCACCACACTCCATGTACCATACAAAGAACAGAAAGTCCATGGGTCATGTGTACAGAAAAAAAGGACAAACGAAGTCACACACAGCAAATAAGTAAGGGTCTGGATCCATGGACAGCAGAGGCCATCACAAAAAGTGATTGCAAACTTTATGCACCCGTGGATTACCGATAGGGGCATTAAGGGTGCATTGCGGTGGTCACCGCTGCCAGCCAGCGTCAAGGCCCCTCTGCCTGCCCCACCACCCGCTGCTGCCTGCTGCACCAGCTGCTGCATAAGGCCCCCAGCAAGGCCACCACCGCCGCCAGCCGGCATCAAGGCCCCTCCACCGGCCATACCAGCAAGGCCACCGCCACCAGCCACCACCTCCCCCTCTGCCCGCTGAAGCCATTCAACCTTCATGCCCAATGAGCTTTACCAAGTGATTGACCACCTCCTTTTTCCCCAGCTCCGGATGGGCTGCCACGACCTGCTGCTCCAGGGTAACTCAGCCTGAGCTGCCCCCTCACGCAGCGGCTTCCCGAATAAAAAGTGCCCGGTAACACCACGCCCACCCTTCCCGACATTGCCCCCCTTTGCACCCACGCTCTCACTACCGTTCTCGGCACCGAGACCTGCGGCAGCACCAGAAGTGGACGACCTCCGCTGAACTTTAGTCGGTGAGAAGACACCCGGTTCGCGGGCCACCACCGCCAACTGTTCAAAAGTCGAGCGACCATCTTGCCCGAGCCGCTTTAGGTAGTTAAACAGCTGGCTCATGCTGAATTTCCTCGATTTTATCTACTTTGTCCAGAACTCAGCTGCCTGCCGCTCAGTTTCACCACGGGTCTGCTTCGTTTGTTTAATGCACATCGTCCAAAGATAATTCAACTCGCACCCGTGTTTGTGCAGGTTGAGGAACGGATTGAAGCCCTGTCGCCATTTCGTGCATCCAGAAGGGACAGTGCTGGAATGTTAGGGTTTGGCTGGCCATCTTGAAGTACCTGATAAGGTCCAATGCCATGGCCATGTGCTGTGGCCAAGGCCGGAAGCCGCTGGGAAGGCGCATCAGCTTCGGCACACGTTGACCATATTGGCCATATTGAATGTGTGGGTATGTGCGCGAGGCAAGCTGTGCCGGACGCTCGACCATCCGGCCGAGTGTCCGCCATGGACGGTCCCAGCGTCCACCAAGGGGGGTATACGAACCACATATACCCCTGCAAGGCTAGTCTGCTATATGATAGGGGCGCCGAACCCTATGGCACCGGTCATCATAAACTTCACGTAGCCCAGTTTTCTTCCCAGCGTAGGCGGACCGTCACAAGCCCAGCATCTCTGCCTCCGAAAACGAGTAGCCTGGACCCCTTCCCCCGGGGTTTGTTGTTGAAGTGGGATTTGGCGGAGTTGGTTGTGCGATGTGGATCAGTCTTGTACTCCCTGAGAGTCACTGTCTGTCATAAGGTAGTTAATGCCTCTCCAATGGTAATTCGTTGCCGAGCGCCTCACCATGGTTAGCCAATGAGCGGACTGGTGGGAATTAAGGAACTGGGTTGGAGGCCGGCAAAGCGTCCGCTGCACTGGGGCAGGATGTCCTGAAGATGTGGACCACGATGCGAAGATGGGGCCCCTGCTGACTTAGGCGGCCATTGCGTAGGTCGAAACAGCAAGGAAGGAAGTGGGAGGACCCGCAGTTGTCGGGGCCCAGGATAACGGTTAATAGCACATTGGTATGGGTCACGTGCAACGTCGCTTTGCTTGTGAAACACGGCCCTTTGCCCATGCGTATACAATAAGGGCCTCCCGCTCCACACATGTTCAGATGCAGGTGTAGTCAGTTGCAATCATGGCCGGTCCTGCGTTTCAGGGAGGGCGGTTGGAAGACAAACCATGCGACATTGCATTGACAATGACGTCGTCCTTTCAGCAATCATACGATAGCTTATGGGCGTGTTGTACGGCCATTGCTCCGCATTGCCGAGTCCATAGCAGTGCGTGTTTGTGTGTTACGACCACACGCATGTGTCCTGTGAGCCCCTTGTGAGCATTTTGCAATGAACATAACTATTCCAGGGAACCAAGCTCGTTTCCGAGGCACATGCGCGCAAGGGACGGGATGAGGGATATGGCAGCATTCGTTACCACGCAAAATGGGTGCAATGGATTCATAAGGGTTTATGGAAAAGCCGGATTGCAGATAACTTAGCCTGCTTAGGCAAACGCGCTAGTGGGAAGAGCTTCGTGCTGATACCGCCGGGACAAATCTGGCAACAGGGCAGGCACCCCTGCAATAGCGTCGAATTGAGAGGGGTGGAGGTGCTCTGCCCAGCCGTGCACGTCTAGAGGTAAATTACGGGAATTTGATGTTGTGGAGGTTATTGCTCAGCTGCTCCTTTACGTAGCCTTGCATAAACTCGTGTCAGGGCGGATCGGGCCTGGGTCCATGGAAGAGGCCCGTCCAGCGTGCACATTGTACGGTATATTTTCGTGCGAAACCTAGAGGCGCCCCTTCCCAAACTACACGATGTGTCCTTCCCAAGTCTGTTGTTACACCCATTATCAACAGACGCAAAGCGGGTTCTTCAATGCCTAGGTGCGAAGTATTTGGGTAAGATCAACGCGCTCTTCAAGCCACACACTTGTCCTGCCGACATCGCTCTCTGTCAAGGCGGAAAAGGAGAGTCTGATCCCCAAAGCTCACAGGTTAGTCAGGTAAAACATTGATGTCATGGTTTATGGATCCTGGGGAGCGCAAGTGCGTAGCTGGCGCACGGGCCCGGGTATCAAATAAGGTGCTTGCCCGTGGTCCCATGGTCCCATATCTGCACCCAGAAACAGCCGGGACATATCGTTTGGCTCAGCAGCAAAGGCTGGCTCTGTTCTTTCGACTATGAAACTTGAAAATTTTTCCTAGGAAATGCAACGTGGTTCGGTCTTTCCCGTTGGAACAGGTTCGGAGTCGTTAGGTCAACTGATATCATAAAACTTAGGCTGAGGAAGTGCAAGTTACGCATCCGCGCAATTGAGCCTGCCGGTTATCAAGAATACAAGTCCTTCGGATTGCAATTACTTGTACCGGCGGTTGGCTGGCTACAGGGAACTGTACTAAGCCACCCATGGGAACACTTTACCATAAATAAGATAACTAGGTTTAGGAACTGTAATTTGTTCATATGATGCAAACGCAATTAACTGTAAAGTTGCACTATTAAGTCGTCCGCAACAGGTTCCCTAGGTTCTTAACGCACTTGTAAACACAATGGGCTACTGCTGTTAACTCCAATGTTGTTACAAGTCAGATCTCGTGGGAGCTCAGGCCGGACTACGGCGGGGACAAAACGCTGACCCAGCTCCCGGAAGCAGCATGACACCTGGACACGGTGCCCTAGTGGTGCTCCTGCTTGGGGCCTATTCTTGCGTAGCTCAGGTATAATCTTTTATATTTGAGGAATGGCTATCGCGGTTTAAGCCTGGGGAAGGACACACGCTCATGCACTTCCGCTGAAGCGACTGCTTTCGCCTAACGCCCTTGTAGAGCTGGGTCATCCATTGTTTTTAAGCAAATGGATTGCCATGATTTGGTGTTAATAAAACTGTATCCAAGGGATGACTTTCAGGTTTGCTGATCGGGTCTCTTTATCACCTTGTGTCAGGGGACCACAACCAACTCGGGGGTTGCCGGCGGCCTGCGCGAAGCCGCCGCAAAGCGCGGCGCGGACCTCGCACGCGCCCCGGATGGGAGTATTGCTACCGATGCCCCCCTGCCAACACTCCACGCCCACACGGGCGTCCGCAGTGCCGCTGACCTGAGCCGCGGTTCCCCCCGCACCACTACGAGTGCTTCGGACACCATGACTTTGGAAACCGGCTCCGTCATTGGCACTGCTGCCACCCCCTCCGTCTCCCTATGGCTGCTGCTCGCCATGACCATGGTTATGTCCCTGCTATCCGGCGTCGGTGCGTTGCCTTACCTCTTTACGGGCAAGCTGGAGCCATATTGGTCGGGCATCGCCAATGCAGTTGGTTGTGGCGTCATGCTGGCTGCCAGCTTCGACCTGCTTGAGGAGTCCAAGGCCTACAGCGCGCCGCTGGTGCTGGGCGGCATCCTTCTGGGGGTTCTAGCTATGGCCTATAGCCAGTCCTGGCTTTCGCGCTTTGAAAACGTGACATTTTCAGACCTGCAGGGCGCCGACGCGCGCAAGGCCATTCTGATCATCGGCGTCATGGCCGCACATGCATTTGGCGAGGGCTCCGGAGTGGGCGTGTCATTCAGCGGTCCCCGCGGCTGGGCGCAGGGCCTGCTGGTGACAATTGCCATCGGACTGCACAACATTCCCGAGGGTATGGCGGTAGCGACAATTATGGTCGACCGCGGAGCACCTCCTCGCACGGCACTGTTCTGGACGCTGCTGTCGGCGCTGCCGCAAGGCATTGTTGCCGTGCCCGCATACATGTTTGTGGAGACGTTTTCGGGGCTGCTCCCCATAGCGCTGGGCTTTGCCGCGGGCTGTATGATTTGGATCGTGTTTGCAGAACTCATTCCCGACGCGTTGGAGACAGCGGAGCATGGACATGTAGCCACCGCTGCCACGCTATCGGCCGCTGCGTGAGTGCCGTTGGGAAGGGGGCCCGGGGAAAGGAAGTGAGGAGGACACTGGAAATTACACCGCGAACAGAAACGAGAGTTACGAGGCTTAGGCCTTAAGGAGACACACACACCGGGCTAAAACGTCGTGGGGGAAGAAAGTGGAGTTGGATGTAGGGAGATGTTTGATGCAAAGCAGGGTGGAGAGGAGCCCCCTGGTAACGTCTTTGAGGGCAGTTGTGGGTTGTGAAGGGGCAGGTTTGCATCGCTGTTGGTAACCTAGCCAATGAGAAGGCTCTCATCCCGTTCAGCCACCGCTCACCAGACTTCGCATTTTGCCCACAACCCACCCGCTTTTCAAACCCACCCGCACAGGCTGCAATGCATCAGCATGGTGATCGCCAAGTTGGAACGCCCGGATGGCTCATTAGCTTCACCCATCGCTGCGGACGTGTCCGTCCTGCTGCCCGACTTGCTGCTGCTACTCCCAGGCTTCCTGACACCCTGCGTTGCTGCCGGTTTGGCGGGCAGCCTGTTGCCCTCCCTGCCCCTCACCATGGGGCTGTCTGTGGGTGCAGCCACATGGACCGGACTGGCGGGCCTCACCACCGCGTTGCTCAGCCACCACCACCGGCAAGAGCAGTACCCTAGCAGCGGCCAGCCGCACTACTTGGGCAAGCAAGCAGCGATTTTATGGGCGGCGATGGGTGCGGCGACTTGCGCGGCGCTGTGGAGGGCCTTGGGGACGCTGTCACTGGCCTTCACGCACCAGGGCGTTGGTTCGTCCAAAGATGCTGAAGATGGGATTAGGACAGCGGAGGCAGGGGCGGGGCCAGAAGAGAAGCAGCTGCAGTCTGTGTCGGGAGGGGCGGTCGCTGTGGCCGTTGGAGGAGGGGCGGCTGGCATTAGTGGTAGCCCCTACTACGGGGCTGCATCCGGGGCTTCGTTTCTCAACGGTCCCCACGGGGCCGGTGCAGGCGGTGGTATATCTGCGGCGCAGGCGAGCCTTGCAGCCAGCCGAAGCTTGGGCGGCATGGGGACGGGGCTAGACAGGCGCAACGGCTACGGTGCAAGTGTGGGTTTTGCAGGAGCGTCACATTTGGAGGATGGCGGGGTTGGCGCGGTGGGCTGGCCTGCATCGCATAGTGGACAATTGCACTGCCAGAGCAACTGCAGCTGCAAGGACTGTGACGCCAAGGTATGGTACCCCGAATGTATTGTGTCAGGATGGGACGCAGGGAAGGTTAGTGGTAGTGTGTTTGGCGACGGTAAGTAGTTTTTGATGGATGGAATGCGTAACCCTGAAGGCCATGTGTGTGCTGTGGGGATAGTGAGAGTAGCAAAACTGTGTCGCGCCGAACCTGCTAGCTGACCTGTTGGATATGCGTAATTACTGGCAATTGGACGGAAGCCGCTTTCCGTAGTACATAGTTCCATTCCCTCTTTGCAATCTCGAGACACCCGTGCCGGCAAGAGGTGCAACAAGTTGTCCCGCAGTAGTGTTTCTCTCACTCCCACGTTTGAAACACCGATGTGCCGTCCCTAGCCTCAACAGGGACAAATATGTGCTCTACTCCCTGTGCTACCTGCATCTCACAAGACCAGTAATCCTCCTCTTCACACCGCTGCACCTATGTTTTGACCCGACCTGCGGTGTCCTGCTGTGTCTTACCCCCGCCTCCCCAGGTGACAATCACGTGGAACGGCCCCCTGGACTTGCAGCCCGCTACGGACCGGCCACGGGAGTGCGTACGGGCGGCGCTAGTAGTTGGGGTCATGCTGCTGGCGGGGACGTTGCCGCTGGCGTATGAGGTGGCAGCCGTGCTGTTGCACCACCTGGGGGATGCGTCCACACTTCTGCCGCCGCTGATGCTGAGAGGTGGGTTGAGTGGATGGACTGGCACACTTTGCTGTGTTTGGGGACTCCGGTACCTCAGCATGTTTACTTTCCGGTTGGGCCTTGTCAACAGCACACGGTGTCTGTCTCCTACCCTTCGGGACCGGAACTCCCGCCGTCTCCCTCTGTTCCCATGTATTTGGGGTGTTATCCTAACCTGTAATTAGCGAGGCCGTCTCCCTGGTACGTTCTCGCCCTGCAGGCATAGCACCCGGGGTGACCTGCGTGGGCATCGTGCGGACTGTAGCTGGCGCACCCGGCTGGCGCCGCCCTGCCGCTGCTGCTGGGCTGCTGGCCACCTGCCTCGGCACAGCCGTATCCCTGGTACTGCTGTCGTTGCCATACGGGCGGGTGGCAGCAGAGGAGATCGCACTGGACCCTGCCGGCCTGGCGGGCCGCTTGCAGGCCTTTGCATCCGGGGGCCTGTTGCTGGCGGCTGTTGGCCAGCTGTGGCCTGCCGCCGCGCATTTCAAGCCCCGCAAGGTGCAGCTGGGGGTGAGCCTAGGTCTGGGCCTGGGGGCCTTCATGGCGCTGCTGCATGCCGGTCTGTGCGCGGGGACACCATACTGCCTCGCGCTCGGAACGGTGCCAACGACGTCGGATCCACGCTGATGAAATGGGGTCGTGGACAGCTTTCCAATTGTAGGGCCCAGACGCGGTCAATGTGCTTATTTACTAGGATATATGGCTTGGTGCGAGGTCTTCAAGGAACTGTGTATGTCGTGTAGCTTGAGGGCCCTTGTAGTAGTGGCTTGGTAACTGACGCAGGTGTCACCGCTGACCAATTTAGTCGTCAACAGTACTTTTGAGCACCGTAACGCGACATTCTTAGTTGCGTTCCGCGTAGCCTGATGATACGGATGACCGTATGTGGGTTGCAGGAAGGACGGTAACGGACCGGTAGGTAGTAATTGCGCCAGGGTAGCGGGTGCCTGGTTACGGCCTCACAGCAGCTGGCATATCATGCTAAGGGGGAATCCAAATGGGCGCTCGAGTAGGATGCTCGGTTTCGGCGTGGCTGTCTTTCCTTGTTCTTGACTGGCTGTGGCCTGGCCAGCCAGCGCCTTCGTGGGGTGACTGAGGGAATACACTGCGCAACTTGAGCCTGTGGAGGCATATGTGGGTCATAGCCGTAGCGGCTCGGGGGAGCACATGGCTTGAGTACTGTACTGGGCTGCGAGTTTGTTGTACTTTATCCTCGCCGGGGAGGCGGTGCTGGCTTTTGTCGGTATGTGGACATGCGGAGCTGTGAATGTGATTGCGGTGCTTGAGCGTGCGCATAGCATTTCCTGACTGCTCATCTGCCTGACCACTTAAAGCTATGTTGGGGTATGGCGGAGCCGGGCGATGGAGCTTTTCCTAGGGGTGGCTGAGCATTGTGGGAGTGCAACAGTCCATTGCTGGACGGAAAGCGAGACTGCGAGGCCCCGGGGCCGTGCGCGTCACTTGGCTGAAACAGCGGGACCTGAACCGGACGCTGTAGCCAGTGGATTGGCACTGCAAAATTGCGCTATTTGCGACAGCGAACCCTGTGAAGCAATAAAGTGACCAATGAAAACTAAATAACACGATAGTTCCGGCGTGGCATCAATGCATTGGGCTACCGCAACCCAATAATATGCTTGCTTGCAAGCTATGCCCTTGTAAGGGGTGCTCCTTACTTTTTAATGCCTTACTTCAACACCCAGCACATTAGGCAACCGAAGCCAACCGTTTCTGCATCCGCTTAAGCTTTGCTGTTTGCTCGGCCCGCTGGTCCGAGTTCCCACACATACACAGGCTCTGCAGTGCGCACTCGTTCAGTACGCGCAGCTGCCAAAGCTCAGTTCTGGAGCTCACACAATGCAAGAGCTCGGTCAGTATACGCAGCTGCCAAAAATTAATCCGCAAGACAGTAAATCAATCCTCAAACAATAACGGTGTGGCAAACGGACCAAACAGCATCCTTTAGTTCTTTTGCCGCATCAACGTTGTGCCAGGGGTAACTACTCATGCCGACGCCGTTTGGAATCAGGTTCCCCTACCTCCTCCTCTCCTACCCTTAGCCGGACTTCCGTCCCCGCGCCACCGTCTAACAGTCGGGGGCCTCCCGGTTTGCCCAGCTGCCCACCCGCGCCACCTGGCGGTGCCGCGACCTCCTCAGTCTCACCAGCAACTCCCTGCCACTGCGCTACATCCTGCCCCTGCCATTGCCCTGCTTTTCCTTCCGCGTGCGCGACTGCAAGTGCCTCATGCTCCTGCCGCTGCTGCTGTTCCGGCAACCTTCCTGCGTCCGCCGCGTTCTGCCGGAGCTCTCCTGCCTGTAGCTGCTGGGCCCCGGGCTGCGGAGATGAGACAGTGCCTGGACCAGCACCCGCCAACATGGACTGCAGCGAGAGTAGCAGTGGCTGCTGTGGAGACCCTGCGGGTGTGGCGGCCAGCTGGCGGGAGATAAAGGCTTGTAGCTGCTGCAGCTGCTGCCGAACGTGCGGCGGCTGCGGCTGGCCGCTGCGAACCGCTTTCTGCACCGCCGCCGCAATCTGCAGCAACTGCTGCGGCGCAAGGGCCATATGTTGCTGTAGCGGCGGCGGCCGACCCGGCTCCAACTGCTGCCCAGCAAGGTTAGACGCATGTGAGCCGGGCGCCAGCAACAGCTGGGAGGCGAGGCCAGGGCTGATGGCAAGGGGCGAGGGTGAGGACGCGGAGGCGGTGGAACCGATAGCTGAAGGTGCAGAGGACTGGAGGCCGGGATCACCCGACGGGACGGCAAGCGGTGGGGGACGGATGAGCTGTGGTGAACGGGTTGTTTCCATTTGATCCATTTGCGTCTCTTGTTGCGGGGCTAACCGATGTTGTGGCTGTTGTTGTTGTTGATGATCTGGGTCTTCTGTTTCTTGCTGATGTGCCTGATAGCTTTCATGCTGCTGTTGCTCCTGCTGCTGGTGGTGTTGGTGCTGCGCGTGTTGACGTTGTATATGTAGATGGTGTTCCTGGCCCTGATTCTGGTCCTGCCCCTGGTCACCATGCTGCAGCCTGGGGCTTCCTTGCTGCACCTGCGCCATCTGCGCCTTTGCCTCGCGCAGCATCTCCTGCAGCTGCGGGTTCGCTGCCATCTGTTTCTGGGCCGCGCTTAGCGCTGCCTGCACGGCACCCGGGGTCACCTGGCCCCCAGCACCGAGCTGGATGCGTGGGAGGCCCTGCTTGGCAGCCGCCTTGGCAATCGCCTGCGCCAACATGGATGCCAACTGCCGCTTGTCGGCATTGCCGCCGCCGGCGCCTGCCTCGCTATGCGCTTGCACCCCTGGCAAGGGACCCGGACTGGCCTGCCGTGGCTGACGCTGCTGCACCTGATGCGAGGTGCCGAATCCTCCAGATGCTTCCGAGCCGGTCTTAGCAACCGGTCCAAGGGCGTTGCAGCCCCAAGGCTCCAGTTTGACGGTGCTTGTGGTGTTCGCGGCAGCGGCGGCGGGTGGCGGGGGTGGAGTGCCCTCTGCATAAAGAGTTGGACTGCGGGGTTGTACAATATACGAGGTGGGGCCCGCCTGAACTGACCGTTCTTGTGCCCCCTGCCCCATGACCGTCATTGCCGCCCCCTGCTGCTGCTGCTGCTGCTGCTGCTGCTGCTGCAGAAATAGCTGCTGTTGCTGCTTGGCTTTGGCAGCCGCAGCTCGCGCTTGCAAGCTTCCAATCAGCTGCTGCAGCGCCGCATGTGGCCTTGGCCGTTCCATCTGCTGCTGTAGATGCTGCTGAGGCCCCTGCTGCTGCTGCTGTTGTTGTTGCAGCTGCTGCTGGGGTGCTGCGGGCCGTGGGATTTGCAGCCCATGCCGTGGCAAGGGCTGCAGAGCAGGCTGCGCCGCCGCCTGAGTGTCGATACTCATCCCCAACCCTGTCCCCACCATGCCGCCCCCCCGCTGGCGGCTCCGGCTCTGATGCACATTGCTCAGGATGCGCGCACTGTATGCGGCGCTCACCAGTTGGGCCGCCGGCCCTGGCTCGGCAAGCAGCAGGGGATGCCTTTGCAGCTGGCTGAGCTGGAGCGTGTCTAGGTGGGACAGCCGTACACCCGCCTGGAGCAAGTCATACAGGTGGCCGCGACGGGACTCCCACGAGTGCTGCACCCACTCAGAGATGGCCTGCCACACATCCAGCTCTTGGAACACCTAGGGGAGAACCAGGAAAAGGGATAGAAAGATGTAAGCAATGAATTAGCAGGCGTCCAGATCAGCCGGAGATTAGGAGGTCCTTAGGGGAAAGGCGCGGAAGGGGATGGAGGAGGACAGCATGCAAGCAGGTGGTGGACTGTGGGGAGGGAGTAGGGAGCTTCATGGATGGCGGGAAGGTTCGTGGACGGGGAAAAGGAAACGGAGTTGCAAATGACGTAATGCTTTGGAGTGTGACAGAGGGAGACGGTTAAGACGGCTGTCAGCCTCTCCTCGCCGCAGCCTGTCAGATTCGGGTCCGGCGGTATGGTTCACCGCGTGGCAGGAAAGCGCTGCGGCTCCAGCTCGTTCCCAAACGGCGCGGGGAACTCGGGTGAAACATGTCGATATACGTATTGGCAACCACCATGTCGATATACGTATTGGCAACCACACCACATAACATCCGCACTCCACAAACCCCATGAATACGTGGGATATGGCCATACAGAGAAAAGGCGCTGCCCCAAGACCCTGCTAGCAACCCAGACCAACGAACCAGAAGCCGAGCACACAACGCCATTGCACCTACAAGCAACTACGAAAGAAACTGCGAAAGCAGCGGCCCATTAACCAGGCCCCGGAACCGTGCCTAACCTTCTCAATACTTTCTATCGTCAGCTACAAAGTACTAGGAACCTTTTACATACATACCCCCGCTAGGTCCCTATGGCAGCGTCCTGGCTGTGGCCTGTCGTGGCGGGACCCCTGGTGACCTTACACTCCCTGCCGTCGTTTACTACACTCCTGGGTAAAACATTCGACCGCTCATGGTCTGGTTAAACATATGTAAAATGATGTTTTACTCGCAAGTCGCTATTGTAATCGCGAATCCCCATCCCTCCGTCCGCAGCCTCCAGCCGTACCCGTGCGCGTTACTGTTCCCAACAACTCCCGGGCCGACCTGCAGATTGGAGTTGGACGTGATGAGCAACAACGACGAGTCATCCAGCATGAGGAAATGGCGCTTGTCCGCCCGCACTGCTGCGGGGAAGCTGGCTATGCAGGCCAGCAGTGCCTCCTCCGCCAGCACACTGCAACCCAGGCGCCGACCCAGCAGCAGCACCGCGAAGCAGTTACGAGGGGACAGCGTGCGCCGCAGCAGGCAGGCTAGCGCGGTGCTCAGCGCGGAAACCTGTATGAGGCAGCGGGTTAAGGGAAGGACGAGCGAAGGTAGGAAAAAGGGGTTGCGCCACCACTGGCGTCGCAAACCAATGAGAAAGCAGAGATGCAGGCAAAGGGAGCTTCAGTAGTTGCGGCGGCCGCTGTGGCGGGCGATGAGCCCATCAAAGCCCAGTACGCATCCGAATGACCAAATCCCTCCAAAACATGCCCACTTCTCCTTCGGGAAACAGCACCAAAAATTACACAGTACACTGGTGGCCTTAGGGGCAGCGGACAGCATTCAATAATTGAAACGGCGAAGGTTGGCCAAGTTTGGAAAAGCGGGGGGGCCTTCACCAGACGCGAAGACCCCGTGTCCGTGCACCGGACCTCGGGCCGGCCGAACACCGACCGCGATCCGCACCAGCCATCAGCAAGGAATAGGAGTTGCGATACATGGCACACGGTATTTGGGTTCGAGTGTTCCATGCGGCTCTCGAAGGCTACTAATGCAGTTTTGCCTCAAAGATACGGTCACTAACTCCGTTCACGTGTCACTATCCTACGTTCCTACCGGCAATCCAAGGCCTTGACCATTTAACCTACGCCGCCTCCGAGCTGCAACGTTCCGGTTACCCACAGCAGCTTATGGACCGAAGCTAAGACATGCAATATTTAGGGTTTAGGCACCCTGGACCTCCTTTGGCGGACCCTCGTGGCCCTCTTGTCCCGCACGCGCCCCTGTCCCTGCCTCACCCGCTCCGGCCCTGCCCGCACGAGCAGCTCCACCGAGATGCCCTCCTCGCCGCTCCCTCCGTTGGCAGCGTCCGGCCAGGGCGCCAAGCCGATAGCACCGGGACCGCCTTCCACCGGTCGGGACAGGTCTATACCCTCCAGCGCCTGCTGTGCCAGCTGCTCCACGGCCGCTACGCCCTCCTGAGTGGGCTCACCGCCGTGTGGAAACGCGGTAGCTGCAGCCGCCTCCTGTGCGAAGGACCCGGAGTTTTGCAAGCGCTTAGTCCAGCAGCCACCGGAGCCCTGGTCGGTATGGATTAGCGTTTCAGCTGGTATGGATGGTCGCACTTGGCTGCCAAGTCCGTCCTTGGTGTGTCCACTCGCGCCATGTGCTGCAGTTGCGTCATCGGTCGCAGTCAGTGCATTTGGTGTGAAACCCAGGCAAGCAAAGCATTGTCAATGTGCATGGCCGTTCTATTGCGAAAACGCTTTTTTCAATTTTATTCTTTAGCAGCTTCCTCATGCCTTTGGTTAAAGGGGGGGCGATAGCGACAGGACTAGTCCGAACCCAGGTTCATATGATGCCGCCCGACCCAAATTTAGCTGGGGTACCAGTTTTTCCGTTATCCTGCATTCCCGCTCCTCACTTCATCCTTAAGAGCCCGTACGAATAGCCGCTGCCCTCACCTTCTCCACTCTCCGCAGTTATATATGTAAGCCAGACACCATTTCAATGCCCCAAACCTCACCGCTGGCGAGCGGCCTTTGCCTGGGCTCTGGGTCGTTTCTTTATACACATCGTCCCATAACTCGCCGTAACTGTCGTGTGACGACTAGGAAACGCGCCCTGCCCTCTGCCAGACGTTCCTCCTGCTGCTGCTCGCCTACCTGCAGCGCTGCCTGCAGTGCGCCCAACTCCAGTGGCGTCAGTGGCTCGGGCTCCGGAGGAAAGCCGCCAATTCGAGTAGCATCTGTGCCACACAGTGGTAATATAGTGAGGAGTGTTTACGGGGGAATGTGCATACTCGGTCGGCTAACTATGCACGTCTAAAAGGATATCCAAAGGGAGCTCGCTCACAGAGAGGAAGTGAAGGGAAAAACGTAATCCAGGGTCGTCCAGACCCATTTGCATGCCATGGAAGTTGGATATCTCACCAAGGGGATTGCCGTGAGGTAAACGCATTACCATGTCACGTGTGTAGGTGGGTACACGTACAGGATGGAAGCACCTGACAGCTGTGCACGGAGACTGCCGCAGTCCTGCAGCGGGTCACCCGATGGAGAATCCCGTACGATGGGGCCCTGTGGACCACTGTGGCCCCTGCTGGGGTTGCTAACCTCCTCAACAACTGTTACAACCGGTACAAGAGCCACATCTGACGCGGCATGGCGTGCTGGCATCGCGTGATATATCAGGCATCAGTGTCGCCACTGCAGGGGGTCAGCGGCACGGGTTGCGCTCGACGCATACGCAAAACCTGGGCCCAGACAATTATGAACTGTTTGCATGCACCCAATCATGCCGACATGCTCTCCTGCTGTTGCGCAGATAACCCGTCATTAGGTCCTGTGGTCTTTGCCTAAACCAACTTACATCTTGTGACGCGCCTTGCCGCCCTCTCCACAGCAGCCTGAAGCAACCGCCCCGACAGTCGGGCGCACGCCTTCGCCAGCTCGCGAACCCGGCATATTGACCAGGCTTCCTGACGGACAAGCTCATGGTCCAATCCGCTATCCTCCACATCGCAGTCTTCTCCTTCCCCGTCCATAACTGGTGATAGCTCATCATCGTCTTCGAAACTGCTTCCCGAGCCCCGATGCGTTCCAGTTTGCAGGTCCGATGGAGGCTCGCATGTAACTGGCTGCTGGTTACCTTGAAGCCTTTCTGCAGCAGCCGCCTGGCTGACATTTTGACCGTCGTCAGAGTTACTGCCATCGACAAGATTATCCATGTCCAGCAATAACCGAACAAAAAACGTGTCATGAAATGCCAAGCATTTCATAAGAGGGGTAACACTCCAGTTCACACAATTTGCACAAAGTGTCTAACTCTTGGAAGGAACATCTCAGCAATGTGTAGACATAGCAAAAAAATAATCAATAGTGCACGCAAGGCATCCATTACGACACAGAAGGAGGGTCGAGAATCTAGTGTACGGACTCGGGTGGACGGTCATGGTGGTCGATGTGCCTAGGCTTTGAAGCCGTTTGATGAACGATTTGTAACAAATCCTAAAGTCGTAGTTATTACGCCAGGTTTGAGTAGGAGTGAACTCCATCGCACTGCGGGACGCTCAGGGTTGGATAAGGCTACTGGGAACCCTCGTTGCGAAGTCGCGTCGTTGCGCCCAGCTCCAGCACAGCAATCCCAGTTGCTATGGCGTCTTCCATGGGGCATATGGGGCTGCTTGGCAGCGCTGGTGCGCATCGATTTGTGCGGAAGGGTAAGTGCGAAAGTCCGTTGGGTTCGAGGCCGCCCGCGGTGGCATGCAGGGTCCCAGACAGGTCGCAATTTTTTGTGTTATTTTCAAACATGGGAGATCACTTGTGGCTTGCATCTGCAGGCGGTGACGGGGTCATCAGGAGAAGGGGATCATGTGGGGTTCGCCAACGTCAGGCGCCAAGCCTGAAGGGGCTTCGGAAGGAGGATGCGGAACTCCTGAAGCAGGTGGGATAGGAGCGATGGAGCTAGTCAGGCTTTCGTGCAAGGGTGTTGCGTACACCTATGCATCGTTGCGCCCTGAGGGCTCACATTTAGACTGTCGTTCTTCCGTCCCACAAGTGAGATGAACTCGAAGGAAAGTCTCTGCAAGCTTTATTTTTATAGCTTACGTGACATACTTCAAGAAGGCCAAGCGATTCACGGATTCTGTATGCAGTATTCTGCTTTCTCGGTGTTTGTCGAATCCAGCTTGGCTGTGACTCTCGTGCCCCTTGGGCAGTCTGCAGGAACCAAAATCCTCATGTAAACTTTCCCGTATCCACACGTGTCGACCATACCAACCGTTCGCACGGCCGTCTCTTCCCAGGCTGAGTACATGTCTGCGGAAGAGCAAGCAGAGCTTCGTCGCTTACTGGAGGAAAACCACAAGCTGCGTGAGGTGCGGGGCGACGCTCATCACGACGCTTATCACTTTTGCTGTCACAGTAAAGGGTGCCTTATTGCACACAGTCGGGTGCTGGTACATGCAGCGCTCCTTACGTTGGTCGTGCACTGACTGCGGTCTAGGACATGCCCCAACTGGGCCCTAGCCATGGGGCACGTCCACCGGCGCGCATAACATAGCGTGTGCAGCATCCGTCATGGTGATGGCATTGAGGCGGTTTGCTCCGGAAATTCCTTTTGTGTGAAAAATTCCACGTAAAACTTCTGTGGGGAAATCTAACGGAGCCCGGCTGGCATGGCCACAGATGCCCCGCCTGAACCCCCAGCCAGGGCGTGAACCTTCCCCTGGGCTGCGCATTGCCACCCATATGTGTCCGTCCTCGCATCTTTAGTGGTGAGGGGGCACAAGCCCTCTGCTGTTAATAAACCCGATCCCGCTCGTGCCGTCCCTTTGCGTCCACGCTCCTTCCCGCCGTTGGTATCGTGGCATCGTGGCCGCTTGGGTCTCCTGCGGTTTATGTCTGCCGTAATCCTTAAAAGTTCCTTCCGCAAATGCTTCGAAAAGATCTTCAGCGCATGAATACCTCGTCCCCTAATGTAACACATTTACATTTCATGAAATCCTCTAAATAACAATATTATAAATTATAAAAAGACACAACTATACAAACATCAATGGTTACGCACGCAGGTGGTGACCAGCAGCGCCAAGCACATGTCCCCTCAGCAGCTGGAGCGCTTCACGCGGGAGTACAACAGCCTGGCTACGCAGGCGGCGCAGGCGGGGGTGGCGGTGGAGGCGGGCATGAAGCAGGTTGGGATAGGGGCTTAGGATGTCCGTCTGGCTCGATGTACGGGCCGGAAAGAGCGATGCACTGAACAAACGGTGCTTAGGCTCCTGGATGCGAAAGACGTCGCATCCACCGGGGCTGTGAGATTGGTGTCCGCAACCGTCCTGTGGGCAGCGATGCTTAAGAAGTAGGATTGCTTCATATCGGAGGCATTGGGCAGGGGCTGGGGAACGGTTCACTTCACCGGTGCCCGCGTGCAGGCCGTTGAGGGAAAATCAAAATGGTCTCCCTCCCGAGGTGCCTCGGCCCACCCCGGCCCGCCCTGGGCCGCCCGGCCCCGCACTGCACTGCATTCAGGTGGCAACCTCAGCCGCCTCACAAGGAACTGCTTCGCTTCGCAGCAGCAGCAGCACCAGTAGCAACAGCGCCTCCGCTGGTGGCCGGCTGGAGGCTACCGCGTCTGCGTCCTCCGGAGGCAATGGCGCAATTGGTTACAGCGGCAGGTATTGGAAGGGTATCGGGAGTGTGCGTGGGGGTCCGGTTTACCTCATGGGTCATGGCGTTAGGGGCTGGAAGCAGGGTGGAAGCTCTGGAAGAGCAGAGGATTTATTGGATGAGCGGGTTGCTGAGGGAGGGAGGGAGGGAGGGCTGTAATGCGTTGCCCAAAAAATAGCCATGTTACCTGTTGTGCCGCACTAAGGACTCACTGGTGGTGCTGCAGCTGTTGGTTGCACCGGTGGAAAAGAGCGCCTTATGCTGACCGTTGTCTTGCCGCTTCACGACCTGTTCGTAAGGGGCTGCCTGCTGATTCGAGCAGCGAACGTATGCCGTCCAGCTACCACCATTTCCATTTCCAGCTTTCTGTCCTGCTGCTACCGACGCCTCTGTGCCTCAGTATATTGTTTCAGCGCTACTCCTGTTTGTATTCATGTATGTCACCAAGGACCAAACGCCATCACGCCACATGCACCGTACCCTGCAGGAGTTACGGCGCTTCGGTGCTGGTGGCCGAGCCCCCCGCAGCGTCCGCCCCGGCCACCACCACACCTGCACCGACGTCACCTGCGCACCGCGGCTCCTCTCCCCCCGCCCCTACCCCTTCCACGGGTGCCTACTCCGTCAGCTCCCGGGAGTATGCCCGTGAGATGGCCTCCATGTCTGTGGAGCTGGACTCCAGCTTGGAGGATGACCACGAGGAGCAGCAGCAGACGCAGCATGGGGGTAGCGGCTTGGAGAAGCAGGTGGGTCAGAGTTGACCGGATGAGATGGGGTGAGATGTGAGAGGGCAGGAGAGGCTGAGCGGATGGCAGGAAGGCAGTTTGCTTTGTGAAGATGCGAGAAATTGCTCGGCGAAATGCCTGTCAACTGTCCGTTAAAAAGGCCTGTCAACGGGCCCAGTGGCTGCAAATTATCGGCAATCAGCACGGACTATGGAGGGCCACATGCCGTGCACGCAGTCGAGCCGTGACTTGTTCCCACTGACAGCTTCCCACCCGCCGCGAACCAGAGCGTGTACTGTCCCTGTCAAGTTTGCCCGTTCGCGCTGTTCACCTCGGCTGCGAGCAGGTACTAGGGCGCTGAGGCCCTGCACGCTGGCCACCTCACATGAGCCACAACACTTGCTCACCTCAAGGCCGTGTTCGCGCTACGCGCCAATCAATCCTCTTGCTATGTTTGTTGCTTGCTGCGCGCCTCCCGCCAGACCCGCCGGCTCACCCGAGTGTGCCTTGCATGCTCAGCGTGTTGAATGGCACGACCAGGCACGGCCGTGTCTTTACGTTGTTGATCGCGCCGCCGCTGCGCAGCTGCTTTCCCTTATTCTTTTCTTCCCTCCGGTGCTTCCTGCATCGATGCGAGGGGATATGTTGGTGAAAGTCAAAGTCGCGCTGGGTGGACTGGGAGGTTGCTCTGTTTTCCCCTGTTGCTGCTCCTACGGCCGTTACTTTTGTTTCTGGTTGGTTCCGGCCGGTCACGGCGGCGCAGGTGGTGCCGGCGGCCTCCACCCGCACAGAACCCTTTGCCGCCGCTGCCAGCCGCTTCGAGGCGCTGCTGTCCGAGCGCCGTCCCGCTGGCGTTGTCAACGCCGTGCAGGCACAGCTGATGGATGCGCGAGAGGCGCCGCCGCCGCCGTCGGGCGCTGCCCAGCACGACCCTGCCGCGGAGGCAGCGCGCAAGGCGTCTCTGCGCGCTGCCGCGGCCGCCGAGGTGGAGTCGCACGACCCCCGGGCTGTGGTGGCGGGCCGGGAGCACTGGATGATCATCACGGTGCCGGAGAAGCCCGTCGCGGGAGCCCCCATGAAGCTCTACTTCAATCGCAACCAGAGCGAGAAGCTGAGGTGGGGGAAATCATGAATCGTAAGAAATGGAAGTGACTGTAGGTGCCGGTAGGAGGATGGTTGCGCTGTCAGTGGGGACCGAGAGAATCCTTAAACAATCTGAAATTAGGGAGGACCGAGACGGGGAATGTTGAGGACCAGGGAGAGGAGAGGGATTGGGATACAGGCGCCTCCTCGCAATCCTACAAGGGAGGGTTTGCAGGTGGGTGACGGTCACAGGACTTGAAGCTATTACAGCTGGAATCAGAATCTTACTTCGGTGATACGAGATTACAAGGGCGGTTTTTGGCCCCCTGCTTTCGGAATCCCGCTTCGTCAGCCGCCAGCGGAGGGAAGGCAGGGAGGGTTCTTTTTCATTCAAACATCCTAAACTGGTGTGTGTCTTCGTGTGTAGTGGCATGTAATGTCATGTTCATCGAAATGTCGGCGGAATGTCTGTTGTTGCGTATGGCGTATTGCGCTCGTCGGCTGTCCTCATCTGCGCGAGCAGCCTTCATGATCACTCCGCAGTAATCCGGTAATGAAGTCCGCAGCTCCCTGCTGGACACGCACGGTCTCTTTCCCGCGCTACCCTGGTCTCTGATTAGGCCCCCTGTGGCCGCATCCCGGTCCCCGCTCTTGGTCCCCTAGGCACCGACCTCACATCGTGCTGCAGTACGGCTATAACCATTGGGAGCTGGTGCCGGAGACGGGCAACCGAGCTGAGCTGATGCCCGCCCCGCTACCCAAGAACGACACCATGGATTTCTGGAGCTGCACCGTACAGGTGGGTGGGGAGGAGGGAGGGGGGAAAGCTAGGGGGGAGGTGAAAGGCAAGTGAGAACGGGAAGATAGGGGCTTTTCGTTTCGATCGCGGCGAGGTTTGGGGAAGCTTGCAGCCTAACGCAGGTTCGGGTGAAATCGGAATACGGGACCGTTTTTCCGGTAGTATTCGCTTGGTATCCCCCGCCATTGTCCATATGGTTCTTGCGGGTGTCAGTGCTGGGCTGTGTGCGGATGTGTATTCGCGCTTGTGTATTCGTACTTCTCTACTGTTGCTGCTTGTTTCTGTGTCACATGCGGGTTCTTCATGCGGTCTTTGCCGATCTTACCTGATCTTATCTGATCTAATTGCACCTCCCGTTCCCTCGGTTTCCGTGCTTCTCCTCTCTGCGCCCGTTTCCCTCTCGCGCTTTGCGGACAGGTGCCCGAGGAGACGTTCGAGGTCAATTTCATTCTGCACGACAACAATGGCTTGTACGAAAATAACAACGGCATGGACTTCACGTACGACGTCGAGGCTGGTATCACGTACGACATCTGGATTGACACGGCGGCGGAGCGGGCAGTGGCCAAGGAGTTGGCGAGGAAGGTGAGGAGGAGGGCGCTTGGTTTGGGACCTGTTGACGTGTGGAGCGAGCTTTCCCAGTAAGAGGGATGTCGCTACATACAAGCAGTGGTTGTTGGGCGGACATTGGGCGCCCTTTGCTCACCGTGCGTCACCTGACCCCCTTGTCGTTGGCGAGCCGGCGCGGGTCTTCCTTATTTGGAGCCCTCGTGTTGTATTGATTCCTCGACACTGCTGTGGCTGGCGGCCGCCCTGTTGCAGGAGGCGGAGGCTAAGGCCGCTGAGGAGGCCAAGCGGCAGGCGGCAGAGCTGATGGCGCAGCAAGCCAAAGAGTTTGGCAAACGCAAGGCGGAAGGTGAGGCCCTGGGCAGCGGGCGCGGTGGGATGTGTTATTCGGGAGTCCGAGAGATGTTGGAGGTACGCTGCGTCCTCGTGTCGCCTTTCCTTTCCTCGCCTCCTCCATGTGATCGTTCTCGGGCGCGAATACATCGGCGTTTGCTGCTGCTTTCCTGTCCACTCCCTCCAGACCTGAAGAACAACATCAGCCAGCTGCAGGACGGGGCGGTGACGGTGCTGTTCCGCAGCGGTGTCCCCGTGTACCGCGTCCTGCCCACTAACCCAGTGGCGGGTGGCAAGGTCAGGCTGCAGTACAACCGCATGTCGGGTCCCTTCGGGAAGTTCCCCATTCCAGAGGAGCAGACTATCACAATGTTGTACGGCTTCAACGGCTGGCAGAGCAGTGGCAAGGCGGCCATGACGCGAGTGCCGCCGCCTGCTTCGGCCGCTGTCACGGGGCCTATCGCAGTAAGCGCACGGAGGGGTGGTTAGGAGGGGAAAGGGAAGGTGGAGAGGTGATGGCGGAAGGCATTAGGAAATGGGAGCAGCACGGCGTGAAGGCAGGCGGCATGGCACAATGATGGTGGGGTGTGTCTGGGGCGTACCTGCTTTTGTTAGGAAATCACTTGGACTCCACAGTTGCACGTATCCGCATTTCGGACAGAGGCCAGGGGCTTCTTGGCTCGGCAGCTTCTTCTCGCCGTTGTCGGGGCCAACGGCACGCGCCTGGTGAGCGTAGGGCGGGGACGAAGCGCTTCCGAGCAGCCCGTACAAGAGTCCATCCTTCAAATATGATCTCCTCTCCCAGCTTAGCATGGATTCCGTCACCATGATGATGAGAGGCCCTGCCTTCGTCACTGATAGCCAGTCGTGATCGGACTCTGGGTGGGATTGATCCCGTGTCCTCATGCGGCGTCTCTTTGTCTTGCACAAGCTGTCGCCCTTACCCTCTCCGTGCTCACACACCTGCGACAAACTATGCACTCGGTGCCTGTACAACCTCCTTTCTCTCAGGAGGAGGACTGGTTCGAGACGGAGGTGGCTCTGCCCAAGGAAGCCGTGGCCATGAACTTCGTGTTCAATTACTACGAGCACTACGTAAGGGGGTGGGGTGTGCGTTGAAGGAGCCCGTTGAAGGCAGCTTGGAATGCGTGCAGTAGTGCGCACTAGGGGGTCCTAAGCTATGGTAGGCACGCGCGCTCATTAATTCCTGTGTCATGCGGCCAAGGAGGGCTTTCAGTTGCCGCTTTGATGCGGGCTGACGGGTCGCTGGGTGAGTGTAGCTCTCGTATCGCGGGGCTATGCTCCTCAGCCCCGCCCCGCCTGCTGTTGCGCCAGTGTGATTTATTGGGGTTTCATGCCCTGACGCCTTTTCTCCCCCTCCACTTGCTCGCTTACTTCAGGACAACAACAGCCGCCAGGATTACAAGGTGAAGGTGGTTCTTCCTCCAGGTCTGTCTATTGACACCTGGGCCGACCAGGTGGCAGAGCAGCTGCGGGAGAAGGAGTACCAGCGCAGAGTGGAGGAACAACGTGCAGCGGAGGAGAAGGCCAGACGGGCGGAGGAGAAGAAGAAGGCAGCGCAGGTAGGGGTTCAGGACTTTGGATATAAATTATGATCATGAGGTAATGGGTGGAAAGCTGGGGGGTTACATTTAACTACACAGGTATGCCACAACACCCAGAAATGTTGGCCCCAAGCTTGCAGGCTCCATTTTCAGTTTTTGGTGTATGAGCTTATGTGTCTGGGGATTGTACAGTGCTTGTGGGTGGCTGAAGGCCAGGCGTTTTCAGGGGCTGGTTGGTGTAACCAAGGGTAACACCTCCCCCGCTCTCCCTCCTTCCTGCATGGGCTCTCCCATTTCCCTCGCAAACCTGAAACTCCCTTTCCATTGCTGCTACTGCTTCTCTTTACTGTCGGCCCCAACGCACTGAACTGGTTGTCACTCAAGGCCGTACTTCAGGGGTACATAACGCGGCTTTGCAGTAGTAACCTCAGCCCAGGCATGATTGTCCTCTCCCCCTTTCCGCCCCCGTCCGCCAATGCCCCGGATAGCTTTCAGGCCGGCCTTAAAGCACCCTTAACAGCGGCTGTACCTCATCCTTTTCCCCGACTTGCTTATGTCGTCCAGGACTTCGTCAAGGCGGTGGAGCGGCGCAAGGTCCGCCACGTGCTGTTCACCGACCCCGAGGTGGTGACTGCGGGCAGCGAGGTGACCGTGTTTTACAATCCTCGCGACACCCCCCTGAACGGGCGGCAGCAGATCTACCTGATGGGCGGCTGGAATCGCTGGACCCACAAGCGCCACTTCGGGCCCATTGCGATGCACCGCCCCGTGGACGGCGGCGAGCACTGGCAGGTAGGGGCCGCAAGGGGACCGGCGCCGCGGGCGTGTTCGTGCGTGTGCGGGGTCTCATGTCGCCGTGTTGCTGGCGCATCGAAGTGTACCTGTTCTTTCTCTCGCCCCCACCCCCTCCCCCTGCCGTCCACCTCTATTAGCTGACTATGATTGGATATTTTCGCTGATTTGCAGCTGCTAGCTGTTCACGCCTTAACGGCCCTTGGGTGGGCCCTGGGCCTTTTCGCCGCCCAGCCAACGGCCGTTAGGCGTGATCGCCGTTATCCTCCTCTCCCCGAGTCCTCTCACCCCCTTCTCTAATCCTCCCACCTCACTCCCTCTTCGCACTTCAGGCCACTCTGACGGTACCGAAGGATGCGTTCAAGATGGATTTTGTGTTCGCGGATGTGCCGGGCGGTGACGGCACGTATGACAACCGCGGCGGCTTTGACTACCACTTGCCGGTGGAGGGCAGCCCAGTGCGGGAGCCTCCGCTGTACGTGTGCCACATCGCCGTGGAGATGGCGCCCATCGCTAAAGTAGGTGGTGGTGGCGGTGGTGATGGGACGGGGTACATGGTGGGTGAAAAGGCAGATGGCGGGGACGGAACTGAAGGGCACAGTGAAAATGGCGAGCAAAGGGGGGGAGGTCAGGCACAAAGTCACTAGACTCTGGCAAGGATGCCTTATCGTAAAAGTCCAGTCGTAAAACCCTACAGACATCCCGATGGAAGAATAGGGTTGGAAGTAAGCCGCCCTGTAAGCGCACCGATGGACCGTATGTGCACGCGGCGCCAGGCTAGGCATGTTAATGAGACCCGCGGTAATGGTTTCCTCAACGGGCCGTGTCATGTAAACTATTCTGTAACTGTCCTGCTTGGCAGTTTGGTTAGGTGGCTCGTCTGCTACAGCACTCACTCTCTCGCGCGCGTGGTACTGACGAAATTTGGGGGCCCGACCACACCTTTATCTCTCCCCCCACATTCCGCTCTCTTGCTCGCCTTTACCCCGCACCCCGTCGGGATCCGCCCATTCAATCGGCCTCCTTAAACCCACATCCTGCATCTTCCCCTCCCTCCCCGTCGCCTCCCCGCCATTTCCAGGTTGGCGGTCTGGGTGATGTGGTGACCGCCCTGGGTCGTGCCGTCAAGGAGCAGGGCCACACGGTGGAGGTGGTGCTGCCCCGCTACGACTTCTTCCTGCACTCGCCCGTCCTCAAGGATCAGCTGCGATACGAGACCGAGTTCGACTGGGGCGGCACTCGCATCTACGTTACCACCGCCGTTGTGGAGAACGTACGGGTGTTCTTCATTGAGCCGAAGAATGGCTTCTTCGCCACGCCCACGGTGTACGGCAGGTACGACGACGAGGTTCGCTTTGACTTCTTCTGCAAGGCTGCCCTGGAGTTCCTCCTCAAGACGGGTCGCCAGCCGGACATCCTGCACTGCCACGACTGGTCCACTGCTCACGTGGCGCAGTCGTACTGGTCTGATTACCATCCGTACGGGTTGTTCAAGCCACGTGTCGTGTTCACCATCCACAACCTGAATTACGGCCAGAAGAAGATCGGCGAGGCGGCTCACTCCTGCCAGAAGTTCACCACCGTGTCACCAACATACGCGTTCGAGGTGGGCAAGGGAGCCTAGGGCGGGGTATACCTGCGTACATGCGTGTGTGTGGGAGCGTATGTGCGTGTGTGTGGGAGTGTGTGTGGGAGTGTGGGAGTGTGTGTATGTATGTATGCTTGCTTGTGTGATTATGAGTGTACGCTTCCCGTGGGTGCAGAGTGGCTCTAACTCCGCCTTGAGGGCCTGCGGGACTGAGCAACAGCCCGTTCGTCCTCCCCTCCGCCGCGGCTTTTCCCGTCCACGTCCGGGCCTCCCCCCTCTACAGGTTGGCGGCCACCCGGTCATCGGCCCCCACGCACACAAGTTCATGGGTATTCGCAACGGTATTGACCCCGAGCTGTGGAGCCCCGAGGAGAACCAGTTCCTGCCCGTGTGCTATAGCTCGGACAATGTAGAGGACGGAAAGAAGGCGGCGCGGCAGGTGGGAGGAAAGAATAGAGGCAGGGGAGCTGGGAACACTTGCTAGGAATCTTGGCATTCCGGCATACTGGCGGTGCCACCTGGCGGATACCACCTGCTGTCGTCATGCTGCTTTCCTGCTACATGGCAACCCATTCCACACCTACCTATGCATCTCACCTACGGCCGGAAGGTCACCCATATCTCCCACCTTGCCTGTCCGTCCCCTCCTCCACCCCCCCCGGTTCATCTCGTTCCTGCTCTCCTGCGCCCCACAGGCTCTACGCCAGCGGCTGGGTCTGACTACCTGGAACGATAAGTTCATAGTGGCAGTGGTGTCTCGACTGACCGGTCAGAAGGGAGTGCCGCTCATCAAGCACGCCGCCTTCCGGGCCGTGGACCGCGGTGGCCAGTTCGTGCTGCTGGGCTCAGCTCCCGATCCCAAGGTGCAGGCCGACTTCAACGCGCTGGCAGGGCAGATGGGTGGGCAGGATGCGGCGTTTTGCTTCAAGTACGACGAGCCGCTCAGTCACCTTATCTACGCGGCGGCCGACATGGTGGTGGTACCGTCCATGTTCGAGCCGTGCGGCCTAACGCAGGTGGGGATGAAGGAGTGCGGGATGGGTGGGGGTGGGGGCTTCGGGGAGTGCGGTTGGTTGAGCCAGGTTGCCCGAGAGTGGTCTGTGACAATATTCTTAGTGTGTCCCTCGCGCCCTAGGGGCCGTCTACTCGAACCCCAACGGACGGGCGGACCGCGAGGGGGGGGGCTGTGTGGCTCCCATCCATCGCGACCTGCGGGAGGCTGCTGTATTTCCGCTTGGGAGATGCGACCATGCCTTGCTCCTCGCCGTCACCCCGGTCGTCACCCGTATTCCACCCCGGTCGCAAATCAAATCTTCTGCCCTGCCATCCCGTACCGTACCGCCTTCCTCTTTGCAGATGATTGCCATGCGATACGGGGCTGTTCCTGTGGTCCGCCACACGGGTGGCCTGCGCGACACCGTGTTTGATGTGGACTTCGACAAGGAGCGGGCAGCGTGGGAGCTGTACGGCTCATCTGACTGGCAGCGCGACGGCATCGATGCCACCAACGGTTTTGCCTTCTCGGTACGCAGGCGGATAGCTGGTGGTTGGGGTTGCGGGATGAGTGCCGTCACCACTGTGCACATGGGGCGCTTCTTTATCCGACCCCTACACAGCCCCTTGTGCCACTGGTCCCATCCCATTCCCTGAGCCTGCCATGCCTGACTGGGTCGATGGATGCGAGCATGGAGGTTGGCTTCACTCTTGAGGCCGCAGGAGGGAGTGACTTTGTGCACCACCTCCGTCGCCGGCGGGGTGGTGCCGCAACTTGCAAGCTTTTGTGTTTCGTGTCCCTTTTCCCCCTAAGAAATTCCTCCTAATCGCGACTTACGCATGTTCCCCCTCGCGTGTATCACGGCCCCAGGGCACGGACGGCGGTGCACTGGACTACGCACTGAACCGAGCCATAGACGCTTGGTACAACGACCGCGCCTGGTTCCGCGGCCTGCAGAAGCGCGTCATGGAGCAGGACTGGAGCTGGAACCGCCCTGCCATTGACTACATCGAGCTCTACTTCTCGGCCCTAAAGTCGTAGAAAGGGAGAGAGATTGCTGAGGGAGAAGGGGGTCAGGCGATGTGAAGTGACGCGCATGCACGTCGGGCTGGACGAGTGCTGTTGGGACGGTGGGTAGTGGAACGCAGTTGACAACGTCTGCCAGTTGGATTACGTCAAACCGCCGTACTGGAGGGTGCGTCCACGCCCTGGCAGGTTTTGCTGCCCGCTCTGTCCGTCCCCGGTGCGGCGGTTTGTGGCTCAACGGGCTGGTGGGTCGGCCGGGAGCGGTGCGCTCCAGAGGTTCAAGGCTGTGCGCGTGCCGGCGATCAGCAGGGTGAGGCTGGACCCTGGCCCTTCTGACTCTTAACGGGGCCGCTTGCTGCCCCTATGCTTGAGCGACGCCAGCGAAATGTAGGTGGAAGAGTGCGCGGGCCCAGGATTGAGCTTGGCGAGAGGATGTTGCTGCAACCCGAAGATCGGAGAGTTCTCGGCATGGCTGGAGGCCTCCGCAGCGTGTGGCATTGGTTTTTAACATTGCGTTGTCGGGCGGCTTGGCGGCGTCTGTTTCAGACGTCCTGTCCTCCACTTCCAACCGTTACGGTGGGCGTACTGCCGGATGTACCTATATTCGTTTTCATAGGAGGCAATTTTCACGATAAGATGGTACCTTTTTTGCAAACTGGTTTAGGAGCAGTTCATCGCTGAGCATTCGGAAAAGCGCGAAGCGGTGCTGCGGCGTGTCAAGGTTTTCCCTCTGTACGTCTCTGTTTATGGCCCCCCGGTGCCATCTTTCCATAATGTCGAGCTGCGTGGCGCTGAAGCAGCTGTTACTCTTGCGGCCCTTCTTGAACAGCGGCCAGATTGCGTCATGTTCGAATGCGTGTCGTTTCGCACTTCCTGGTCATGTTTTGTGCGTGAAGGAAGGAGCAAGTGTTTCTCGTGCTTTGCCGCACGGCACGTTTTTGTAATGGGCTGCTTGGTATTTGCGGAGCCGTAGTGCTCGGCTCCGTTGGGCCTCATTTTTCCCACTCAGCTCACCAGCACCGCCACCTCCAGATGTGTGCGTGTCGAGGCCTTTGATGCGTGTCCGCGAGGGCACTAGGGGGGTCGATGTATGCCGTGTACTACTTTTGCGACTGCCCCTGTCCTACTATGATGTCCGGCCATGGAGCAGCTTGTGTGTACGTCGTCTTGTTGTGCTGGAGAAAAGTAAAAACAAGGAACCCCGCACGGCTGCATTACGTTTTTGTCTTTTCGCAGCTGGCCGTTTTTGCCCCGCGTGGGGAAAAGATGCAGTTTGCCGTGCAATTTTGAAAGGCATGTTGGTTGTCAGGAGAGATACAGACATTTAAAAGGTGCGGATGGTACGCCACCTAATTTGCGTGGATTTGCGTGCTGGCCCGAATTGTCTGGCCGTAATTGGAGACGTTGTTCTGGGCCCGGCTGCTGAGACTGTGGGGGATGGCTTGGTATGAATGTATGGCGTGTTTAGGCGGGGTGTTGGGGCTGGGGAAGCAGTGGGCAGTGCGGTAGCCTGCCATTACGGGACCCGTAGCCGCGCCGTGTCATCCCTGCTTCGCTGAAGATCCGTGCTAGCAAGGCGCTGTGGACTTGGTGTGCTTATGTGGCCCGTAGGTGGCTCGTGTGTGTATGAGAGGATGTATCAGCCGTTCATGAGTGTGTGTATGAGTGGAAGAGCAGCCGGATTGCGGGCGTTCATTTTTGTTGATCGGCCCGTTTCCGTGCAGGTTGTGTCGGCAGGCATGTGCAGTGCATCAACCTCGTACCTGTCGGGCAGCCCGCCTGATGGGACTACCCGCAAGATGAGCGAATTGGATACCTGGAAGTACGGGAGCGCAATGCAATGCAGGCCAATGGGATTTAACAAAACTTCATTGCTTTTGTCTGGTGACTTACGTCTGGTGTGATGTGGTGGTTGTGCACCGGGTGGCGTTCACAGTTCGTCTTGTCGAGTGTAGGGGGAGCAGGAAAGCGAGGAGGTCCCTGCCCCATGCCCAGGGGTGGGTTAACGAGCATAATGCGGTGTGATGGTGATGATAAACTTTGTTGTAATTTGTTGTAATTACGCACACTTGGAAGTGTTGTATTGTGGATATCCTCTCTGCACTTGGTGCAGCTGGAGGCTGCACATGTAATCAAGGATTGTTTTGGCAGCTATGTTAATTCTGTGCTCCTGTCTCCCTAAACCGTATTCTCATGGCTATGTCGATTGGAACATGCTGGCTGACCGTGCAAAGAATGGTAGAGACGGGAAGCAGGGAGACCAGCTGCCAAGGGCCCTTACACTGCAGTAGAACACAACCCAAGCCAACCACGGCCGCGCGACTGCGGCCCCTAAGGCCGCCACACCGGGACCGCGCGGCCGACAACACAGGGGGGAAAACACGCGCGCGCCAGACAACGCAAAACGCGAGGCCAAAGGACACAACGGCGACTCTTAACGTCCTGAAGCCCGACCAAGAAGACCGACCGAGTCCTACGGCGAAAAGCGCCCCCTCCAAAGGCTCCCAAGGCCACGCTACAAGGCGAAAAGACCCAACTGCAACCAAAACTTCCTCAAGTCTCTGCTCTCGACCCGCCTGTTGAGAAGCCACTCCTCAGCGAGCGTTTTCCACCTGTCCGCCGCTAGCCGAGCCCGGTGCGGAGGTGCCTGAAACTGGCCAGTGAAAAAAGGAAAAAGAGAGGGGGGGGTGAAAGAAGAGATAGCGACCCCGAATCAAAAGGGGGAAGGTGGGCGGGAAGCTGTCAGCTACAAGCTGAAGCTCTACTGAGTGAAAGGCAGAATGCCTGAAACGAAAGGGCTGAAGCAATTAATACTCGCCATTCCAATACGGTTGTACGACAGTCGCACAGAACCAGACTTAGAGACTCCGATCGCTTCGCTCCGTCGTGTCTAAGTCAACAACAACTTTGCAGTCCCCGCATGCATCGCCGCCGATACCAAATACTACACAGGATACAATCTGGCCCCCGACCACGCAGTACGTGACAAAATGAGATCCTGGGCAATCGTTCTCTACGCAAAACAACACAGCTATGACAAATGGCGCGAAGGTTCAAAAGCGGCCCCCCATGTTTTACTTAAACGTGTGGTTCGCAGAAATGTGCTGTAGCAGTGCATCGCATTGATACTGACTGAAGGCCGATTTCCCCCATTTCCCTCCTTCCCCGCATCGCTAACCTTGCCCAATCTCTGTCACAAGGTCTCTTCCCCATTGCTGACAAACATCGTATGAGTACAAATGAGTACAAACAAGTTTGCCGGTCTGCATGGACCGAGGCGGAAGAGGTTACAGCGGCACTGGAGGCGACCGTAACGGCCGTGGCTTCGGCAACGGCAGTGAAGGTGGCGGCCGCGCAGGAGTTGAAGACGCCAGCAGCAGTCCCTTCAGCGGAGGCAGCGAATGCCGTGACAAACTCTGTTCCACTGACGAACAGTTCAGCGTGTTGGGCGAGCAACCGATGCCTGGCACGATGCCTGGCGATGAGCAGCAGCGGCGCATCCGCCGGGACACGACCCGCGCCGCAGCGGAAGCAGTCGCCGTTGCAAAACAAAGCCCAGGTACAAGACCCAGTAAACCCAATCTTGGAACCCGTAACTTGTAACACACAATCACGGCGCCGTCGTCACCGCAACCCGCAGCAGTCGCTGGTGCAAAACAGCCAAAGCAGCCGAAGCAGCCGACGCCGACGCCGCCGCAGTAGCGGCGGCAAAACAAACCCCAAGTACAACACCCCTTCCACTGCCACTTCCGCCGCCGCCGCCGCGTCCGCCGCCGCCGCTGCTGCTGTCGACGCGAGGAGATAGGAGTGGGGAAATCACAAACGCGTCAGACACTGCCCAGATGCTTGAAACAAACATGCAGCCGACCTGCGAAACGGGGGCAGGGGGGACAGGAAGGGCGACGCCGCCGCCACTGTTGCCGCATCGGCGGCAGTTGAAGTGACGTGTGGAGGAGGATGATCAATGGACGGGTGGGGGAAGAAGACGACAGCTCCGCCGGCGGCTGCATCACCAAAGGGGACGCCGCCGCCATTGTTGCCGCATCGGCGGCAGTTAAAGTGACGTGTGGCGCTTGATGATCAATGGACGGATGGGGGAAGAAGACGAAAGCTCCGCCGGCGGCGGCATCACCAAAGGGGACGCCGCCGCCATTGTTGCCGCATCGGCGGCAGTTAAAGTGACGTGTGGCGCTTGATGATCAATGGACGGATGGGGGAAGATGATGAAAGCTCCGCCGGCGGCGGCATCACCAAAGGCGACGCCGCCGCCACTGTTGCCGCAACGGCGGCAGTTGAAGTGACGTGTGGCGCTTGATGATCAATGGACGGATGGGGGAAGATGATGAAAGCTCCGCCGGCGGCGGCATCACCAAAGGCGACGCCGCCGCCACTGTTGCCGCAACGGCGGCCGTTGAAGTGACGTGTGGCGCTTGATGATCAATGGACGGATGGGGGAAGAAGACGACAGCTCCGCCGGCGGCGGCATCACCAAAGGCGACGCCGCCGCCACTGTTGCCGCATCGGCGGCAGTTGAAGTAACGTGTGGAGGAGGATGATCAATGGACGGATGGGGGAAGAAGACGACAGCTCCGCCGGCGGCGGCATCACCAAAGGCGACGCCGCAGCCATTGTTGCCGCATCGGCGGCAGTTGAAGTGACGTGTGGCGCTTGATGATCAATGGACGGATGGGGGAAGAAGACGACAGCTCCGCCGGCGGCGGCATCACCAAAGGCGACGCCGCCGCCGCTGTTGCCGCATCGGCGGCAGTTGAAGTAACGTGTGGCGCTTGATGATCAATGGACGGATGGGGGAAGAAGACGACAGCTCCGCCGGCGGCGGCATCACCAAAGGCGACGCCGCCGCCGCTGTTGCCGCATCGGCGGCAGATGAAGTAACGTGTTGAGGAGGATGATCAATGGACGGGTGGGGGAAGAAGACGACAGCTCCGCCGGCGGCGGCATCACCAAAGGCGACGCCGCCGCCGCTGTTGCCGCATCGGCGGCAGTTGAAGTGA